CCTGATCTCTATTTGTCGATTTTCACAATCCTCCCTAGATTCCAATTTTTTATCATTAAAAAAATTTTGCAATGCAAGAAAAAGATGATAATCGCTTGGTGCCAAGTCCGGACTGTATGGCGGATGCATTAAAACTTCCCAACCAAGCTCCCGAAGTTTCTGGCGAGTCACTGTAGATGTGTGTGGCCTAACGTTGTCCTGATGGAACACGACACCTCTCCTGTTGGCCAATTCTGGCCGTTTCTGGTCAATCGCTATCTTCAAACGGTCCAGTTGTTGACAGTAGAGATCAGAATTTAGCGTTTGGCCATATAGAAGAAACTCATAATAAATAATCTCCTTCCAGACCCACCAAATGCATAGCAAAACCTTCCTGGCCGTTTAAGGTGCTTCTGAAATTGTTTGCTCGATACTTTACGAGAAATCTATCAGTGCAGCCATCTACCGAAAAAATAATGGATTTCTTTTTCCCCAAACTAATATATAAAGTGGGAGAACGAAAATAGTTTCCCATCCGTTAAGAGATTCATTCACCTGACTCAAAGGAACAGTTAACGATAGTACATGAATATGTCTATGAAAAATACTAAATGCTCTTGGACAATGTTGCCTTTCTCATGACGTCATATTATTCTTCTTTTTTTTTATATCTATACATATATTGTAGTGTACTTAGGCGCGGAGTACACTTACTATTTTCACTGCGTCTTACTCTTTGCTCAACAATGCATCGCATTTCGGTAAACTGCATTGTGATGGAGATATATGCAGATGCTATGCTGTAGGGAAATTCATTATTGAGCGAATATTAGAAAAATAGTGAGAAAGCAGATCTTAAAAAACGTCTAAAATTGCAGCAAAAGCTGACCTAAAGTTTTAAAATAAAGCTACGAACTTGTTATAAAAATTTATAAGAGCCAAGAAAAATTTAATATGAAAAGCGTCAATCCACTGACACAACCAAGTTTACTGAAATATTTTGAACGTATGCTACTCGGCGCTGGTTTGCGATGGTGGTTACCAAAGGCGAATTTTCGAAAGTTTTATCTTTATTCCGAAGTGTGAACAAATTTTCAACTTTTCTATCTTACACTTAAGTACTTGGATAATGAAAAAATATTTTTAACTTTCTCTGTCCAGTCACTCCGGCAAGCATTGTTACTTAACTTTATTATTCGATCCACTTTGTTGCAATGAGTTTGAGTGCATTTTTACAGCGTTTGTTGCAAGTCTCTTGTACGTTTATAAATAAAAAGTTATTTTTCTCTCTTTTTCTACTGTTGTCAGCCACCTCCTTGCCTTTGTGGCACTCTTCATCCATATTTTATGATCAAGTATAAGGTCGAGTCATAAGTAACTTCCGCTGTAACTATTCGCTGCAAGTCACCGAAACAAATGAGTTTTTGTTTTCACCATACAGATAAGGATTCAAGTAGTCTTCTGTCAACCGTTGTATGTGGTGCATGTTACAGTCAACTGGTTTTCTTAACCTTTGCTTTGCGCTAAGTCGGCAGCCGAAAAAATATGCAGCGTATACGGGGAAGGACTGATAACTGATCGGGCAGTTAGAAAATGCATTGTAAAATTCCGGTCCCGTCCGGTGCTACGACATTAAGAGACGGGATGTACTTCTGAATTTGACGGGCAATATTGAAGCAAAATCGACAACAATCAACAAACGCAAAGCAAAAAGGTTGGACCTCTCCTCGAGTGGAAGCAAAATGGATGTCTGATACAAGAAACGGAAGTTACTTATGACTCGACCTATACCATCCTACACCGCTTCATCCCATGCAAATGCATTTACTCCCGTCATGTTGCTTAAAACTTACTTTTTATCCAGGAAACAATCAAAATACGGAGCCAAACTACTATACTGAATGAATTTTTCTTACAAAGCGCTAAAAATGAAACGTTGTTGCCATCTAAAGGCTTATCTTTTATAAAAACTTATATGAGAGAGAGAGAGAGAGAGAGAGAGAGAGAGAGAGAGAGAGAGAGAGAGATCAAATATTGATATTATCCTATCCAAAATTTCGACATTCAGTTAGTGATATTGAAAAATACTAATATTTTCCACTGAATTTTCTTGGGGAGAATTAAAAATTGCAAAATTTAATTTTCATTATTTTTCGATAGCTTTATTGATACGGGAAGTGAGTTCGTGAGATTAATCCGGTTTAATGCATTTGGTAAACTCAAAAACACATGTGATATACAATTCAAATCGACACGAAGACAAGCAAACACGCAGACGTAGAAACTTTATTTGGATTGGAATAATAAAAGGTTGGCATATATGAGAAGTTGCACACATGGAAATTATTAGAATCTGTCGGGACAACACTCGAATATAACATTGTGTTAGTGGTATCGCTGTGCCGTACATTCTCTTAACACAAATACCCAAGCCGTAGTTGCTAATGGCGACTTCTAACACGTCATGCAGAGCAAAATGAAGGGTAAGATGAAATGTCTTATCTAAAGCGAGAAAGGAATGCATTTGCCTTGGGAAGAAAGCTTTCTGAGCCTCGCTCTTTACGAAAGGACAAAAATTGATGTGAATTTACGGATTTAAGGATTTGTAAGAGTTTTTTAGAAACTTGGAACTCTGGACTTTGATTTCCAAACAGCTTCCAAACCTAGCCTAACAGGTGCGTAAGATTTAATTAAAATCGATTCAATGACTTAACTATAACGAAGAGAAAATAATATCAAAGATGTATTCGCATTGTAGGCCTACGTAGGAAATATCTCTTAAACGGACTCTTGAACGCTACATTCGCAGGTGTCAGGTGTTTTGATCGGCGACGAATGATAAAGAAATGGCAAACACCAGTATACGTAACGATTCGATTCAAATTCGATAGTTTTGGCCTTCATTTACATGAGATAAGAGTTTTCCATTTAATATGATTACATAACTATTCAGCGTACGCCGACGTTAATCACGGAGCGCTCAAGATTCTTCTTCTTGCAAACTCATTACCTTTGTTGTTTATTTAAAGAAATCTGCTGTCGAAGCCCGCCAAAAACGTTCAGAGGCTTATGGTGATACTGCTCCATCGTACCCCAATTGTCGGTCTTGATTTCAAGGATTTAAAAGTGGCGATACGAATTGACTGAAAATGCCATTTTTTGGTTGCTTGTTGCAAGCGTTGTCCAGGATACACTGTTACAGCTCGAATGGAAATTTCTGCCACACACCTAACATACTCACTAGAGATGGCACCTCCCGATTATGGCTTGTTCAGATCGGTGAAGCATAGCTTGTCCGGCTCGCGGGTCCGCAAACTTCAAAAAGGGTGAAAATGGGTCGGTGAATAAGTTCTTTCGACATGATATCTCCATGTTGTCAAAAATATTATAAAATGTTGTAGAAAATGTTGGAAACTATTTTTATTAATATATATTGTACGAATTTTTCAAGAGAATAAATGTTTCCTTCAAGTGAAAAAGTGATCAAAATTTTTGCAAACACCTATGCAGCTTAGTAGATGTTACACGCAAAAAAACTATTCTTCGGTGGTAGAGTTCACCAAAAAAAAAGCTGTGGTATTAATTGGATGAGTGTGAATAAATTCCTATAGATTTTGTTCGCAGTTAGTTTTCCGTACACACACGAATCAAATATGACATATAGTGTGCCATACTTGAATAAAAGGTGAAACTTTCGGCGATACTTGTTCGAGACTTGTATTTTAAGCGTGAACATGAACTGGAAGAATTTCGTTCTTTTTTTTTTTTTATTTTCGAAAAATGAGAAACGCTTCGCAAACTCACCAAAATGTAAGCACCGTATGGGAGAGCTGCACGCTGTACTTCATATATATCAATAATTGCTGTTTAGACAAACAAAAATTTTAATCGTTTCCCGCTAACATGGGATGACGAAGCAAAGCGCGTGCATAACTTAAATATCGTAATAATTAACTTATTAATGAACACTTAGACGCTTAATTTTTACTGAAATTCTTCACCTTTAATTGAGTGTTCATTTTACAGAAAAAAAAAAAGAAAAAAAATTGTTAAAATTTAGGAAACCTTATAACAGCAAACGTACAACTATGACTTAATGAATATTTTGAAGAAAAACTCCCAACTTATATTTAACGGCCAATATTATATGAAAGTATGTAAAAGGAAGGGAAATAGCTTTATTACCTTTTAATGTTTTATACTAAATAACAGTTTTCCGAGCACAATTTCGAATAACGTGCATATACACATACGCATATATATACATACATATATACATACATACATACATATATATATATATGCATGCATGAAACCGCTGCGAAACAAACTCGGGCAAGTATTAAGAGAGTTGTTAGTTACTGCTTGCTATATATGATTTTATTTTTTTAACAGACCTGATGATGAATGAGCTTGAAACAGTTTACAGTTTATTATCGTATGAGTGAATATTTGTTTCCTTTTTAACATTTTCTTTTTTCTCTTCCTTTTCTTTGGCCTTCTTCCTACTTTACATCTACTATTTGTAATAGGGAAATAATACTCGCTTGTTTCTCCCTACGCTTTTCTTCATATTTTTTCTTTTGCTTTTGCTTTTACTTTTCGTAGTTTATTTTTATGATTACGCTATGTAGTAAATCTCCTGCACGATGGCTAACTGTTTACAGTCAGTTAGTCTGCCTTAGGAATATATAGTAGTATTTCATTGTCTTATTGTTGTTGTTGCTGGTAGTTTAGTGAATCCAGCCACTCGATAGGATATTATGCATTGATGGGTTGATTAAAAAAACCTAACAGAAAAATAGTTATTATAATCACGTAGAGAGACTAAGTATGTATATACTCATATACACGACAATATTATAACAAGGCATATATATATATATACATATGTATATGTATACATAACGTAGAGTAAGCGTAAACTTTATTCTTAAATACTTTCAAGCAAACATTTAGTTATTTTCTTTTCCCTTAAAAATATGTTATAAATTTTAGTTGCTTTACTTGTAATAATTTACCTATTTTTTCTTTTTAATAACATGAGCGTGAAAATCATTTCCATTTCTCGATTAAGAGGAGTTCAAGATTTTTACACCACCGATTCATTTTCTCTCATCATTAATTGATTCTAATTGATTTCTTTTTTTTTTTTTTTATTTTTTTTTTTTGGTTTTCTTTAACCTTAACTTTTTTCTTACAGTTTCAAAATACCCAATTTTACATATATTTCCTTCTGATTCTTTCTCACTTAATAATGTTTTACAATCGTTAGATTAGATTAATGCGAATGCGATGTTTTGCTTTAAATTATTATAACACATTACATGATGATGCGTTTATGCTTTAAACGCTCAATGCAATTCAGACATATATATATATGTAAAGATATATATATATATATATATATAAATATATATATACATATACATAAGAGATGTTGTCTTTATAATCGGAGCAAAGTAAGAGAGTTGCCGTTTTACGTTCAATTCAATAGAGCGTTCAAGTTACGAATAGATATTTTTATGCTAACGAATAAAAAATTACACAATTACTGTTACAATTCATCATTTACATTTAACGACTAAAAACTCGTCGAAACTTTAACCGTTAGAATTTAGTGTAGGAAGAAAGGGCACGCAGAGATGGACAAGAAGAGAGAAAACGAGAGAAAATACTCGCTGATTATACAATATATAATGCTATCGATTATATTTTTATTTCTTGGCCTTCGGTTGGATTTTACTACTTTATTATAACAGTAACTTATATCAATACGTTAGAGTAAAACAACCATAGAAAGTGCTTGTCCTTTTTTTCTTTTTTTTTTTGTTTAATTCTCTTCCTTTGAATTTCCAGAAGCAAAAAGAAAGAAAACAGTACACTTTCCTTTATTATATTATAACAGTTTATAAATTTTTCTTAATAGTAACTGTTATGTCTTACATCCTTTCACAATTTTAAACATTTTGTTTTTTTTTTTTTTTGTTTTGTATTGATGTATTCATGAACTATAGGGCACTTGTTTAACTTTTTTTTTTTTTTTTTTTTAACACTTTTAAGATGCGCCTACATGAATGTTAAAATTATTTAAAAGTTTTCTTTAGTGTTTCACATTGGAACCTTATTCAAACGCCCCAAAGAAGAGAAAAATAGAGTGGAAAGAAATACAACCGGCTATGTATCCTGCCCTCCACTGACTGACGTTTCATTATGTTAGAATCAAGTTGCAACTTAATGAATGTCAGCCATACTGTTGAAACATGAATTGCCTCGTGAAATATATAATACGACTTCCACCCCCATACATGAATTTTATATTTTTTAAACACTTTGCTTACATTTTACCGGTAAATCTGGCACTTGTTTTTGTTACTTTTCCAGGTTTTGCTTATTTGAATTCTTATTTAAAGTACGTGTACGTTCATGTATAATTAATAAAAGATTTGTAATTGTATTCATAGAGTAAGGAGCTGCGCATATGTTCACATTTTGAATTTATTTTTTAATTTTTTTTTTTTTTAATAATTTTTAGGCATTCCGCACACTCTCTCTCTCTCTCTCTCTCTGTCTTTTTCTAGTTTTCTCTCCATTAATCTTGCTCTCTCATTCAGTCTCTCTTCCTCGTCTCCGTCTCTCTCTTTCTCTTACTGTCCATATTCACATTTAGCGATTTTCATTTGATTTTATGTCATGTCCTTATTTCATGTTATTTTATCGTTCTTTGTACGTTTTCAAGTGTACCCGCTGTACCCGCCAAACTCGCATGACGAAGTATAAGAAAACTTGAAAATATATTCAGTAGATATTTCGATTTTTCATTTTTCTAAACTACAAAAAAAAATATTATAGGTAAAACTGCAACAAAATTTAAAAAAAATTAACATTTTCGTGCGAGATATCTCTTATATTGCGGTTCACTTATCCGAGATTATACAACGTTGTATTTTGACGTAATTTAGAAAGTCTCATATTTACATTGGCAGTTCTGTATATCTTAAAGAAGTCCGTTCATAAGAATGAATAACAGCCCTGGTAAAAAAATTACAATTTTACGGTTGTAAAGCTAATATCGTGTGTATTTTGTTGTTCAATTTTGCGGCCATATTTACATCTACAATTATGGTTACAAGTTTTACAAGTTACAAAAGGTAATATAGGGCATTTACTCCGTCTGATAAAATATTTCTTTTGAAAAACAAAACGCTATAAATGAAGTAGTGATAAGCTAAGTCAATTCGGTCCTTAAACTTACAAACTATGCTGCGGCCGTTGAATACAGAGAGAACGGTTTTGGTGCAGTTGGCATTCTTTTCAGAAAAGGCATCTGCTTCAAACGTATTACCTTTCAAGTATTTCGTTTAGGTTATGTGACCTTCTTGGTGGTTTCACTAATGTCATTCTTGGCGGAGATTTTAATGCCACATATCACGTTTACGGAAACCCAACAACGACGGATAGAGGCAAGGCCTTAGTCAATATAATCAGATTAAGCAACTTTCCCTGCCTACATGAACTTTACCGTACTTTCCATATTTCCTCTAAAATAGCATTGTCAGAAAGCATTTTGGTCCTAACCTTTACAAACTCGACATTTTTTTACTTCAAATGACATATCAAAAATGCTTATCTACGTAAAGACATCACACGTTCATCAGGTTCGATATATGTGATAACCGAACATCCGAACAATTAATCATTAATATCGCTTTAAAGCTTTAAAAAAAAACTCAACAAATTTACCATCCCTTTCAATATCTCAGACCACACTGAGATCCCCAAAGGGTGGAATACGATACTAAGAAAGGCAAAAAGAAGGCATCGTGCACTCACAATTGACGATCTTCGTGCTAATGATGACTCTCGGCTTTTTTGGAATTTCATAAAAAGTCATCGCGTTACAAAACGTGATTCTTCGAGCTTTCAAATTCGTGCTGATGCTGACAATAAAAAGTATCTGGACTTTCTCAAAAGTCACATATCTGCTTGCATCCCATTGGTTACTTTTACTGTACCTTAGATTTACGACAATATCACCTCCTTCTCATATAAGAACTTCTCATCGGTCTTAGAATCGAAAAAACAATCCTCTGCCGCTGACTGTCAGTTTATTCATCAATGGAATCAAAATCACCCAATGCACGTCTTTTCCAAATTAACTAAGCTATCAATTAATAACCATGCAGCTCCGCCCCCAAATAAAGCTCCCTTGATTTACAAGTCGGTGGTACATTCGAAAATTAAATTCGCACACTTAGTGGCCTGCAATCCTCCCCAGTATATAACCAAAAAAACCCGAATTTTTCAAAATCGACACTTGAGACGGTGTACTGATCTCACTCCTCTGACGCCGCTACACATTCTCCAAGTTATCTCTGGTCAGCTACCGGTGACTGAACGAGCCCTGTTACTTATTGTCAAGGAGTTAATCAAACCCAAGGCTGTAAATCCCCATATTTTTTAGTAAAGGTGCCGCCCTGAGCAACGAGGAATCGTGTTGCTATACTTTCTGCTCTAGCATATTAAATTCCTTTCATTGCTGGGACTCTGAGAACAACAATTTAAAACACGCAGGCGTTAACGGAATGACGTAATTTAATGAAATGGACATATATGACGATTATATACGTAATCAGTTTAACATTAAGTTAATTACTTTTAATATGATTTATCATGATTTGTTGTACATTTTATAAAAGATTAAAGCTCTTTTCTTTTATGTTAAAAAGCACAATAATATGGCGAAATATTCGGGCCTGACCGGAACTTTCATACCTGTCACCGTTATCCTAAAAAGACAAAAAGAAGGATGTATGTATGTACGTATAATATTTACAGGGCGGTACCGACTTTTCTTATTTTCTAAATAAAAGTTTTTGTCGCATAAACGCGTGGGCGTTCAAGGCATGTCCATTTGAAAAGTTTGATTTGCTTCAAAATTCTTTTGCATATTTGTAGGCGTCATCTTCATTTTTGGGAACGGGAGAATATTTACCAAATATACTACACCGTTAGGTATACGGACGGGTGAACAGACGAACAGACGGACATGTTTAGATGCATTTGAAATTTGAAGTAGGCCAAGAACTTGATAGGATTTTAGGAGCTTGTTTCTGCGCCTTACGAAGGTATTAAAAAAAATTAAATTTTGATACACCATAATTTTGGGTAGGCGTGGCCAATTTTATCCATTTTTTTGCAAGATACTATATCATCGCCCGATGGAATGAATATGCGTTCAAATTTTTGAACATTTATTTGCTTTAGTTTAGTTTTTCATGCCTTTTGAAAAACGGAGGTGTGGTGCTGCGGACATGTGTTTCGTCCGATTTGGCCGATTTTCAATACCGACCTGCGCGCAAGAGCTGCCAATGTTTCTGCCAAATTTGAAGACGATACAGTCAGGAGAATATTTACAACAGACATTATATGGATAGGCGGACGGACAGAGGGACATGTTTGAATCGATTTAGAATGTGCTGCCGACTAAGGATATATATACTTTATGGGGTCTCTCATGCTTCCTTGTCGACGTTGCAAGCGTTTTAACAAATTGAATATACCCTACATCCTTCGGTGGGTGATGGGTATAAAAATAATAATAATAATAATAATAAATGCCATCATTCCGTATAAAAAAAAAAAACACACACATTTACTCAGATGGCTTAGCATCTTAAACTAATCAAATCTATATTCGTATGTATAATAATTTATGAGCTTTCGAAAAGTTATAAGCGGTTGATGAAGATAGTGAAATTTTATATAAGGATAACAAAAAAGGATTGTCGATTGTGTTCGACCTCGTAAAATCTTAAAGAGATCAAAGCCTCCACGACGAAATTTCGCTAACTAATTACGGCAACTGGTTAATGCTTATGATATTCGCGCTGTGCACGGTTGTGATATGCCGACATTTCTTTCACCTTTTCAAAGCTTACAAAAAAAAAACAATTGGCAAGAGCCGATTACTAAACAATCTGCACCACTTTATCTAATACACTTCCCCGCCTATATTCGTCATAAAATCAAAAAAATTATACCTTATTGTCGTACACAATAAAGGCGGATGCTTGATAATCAGAGCGCTTATAAAAGACACCTTTGTAAATTTGTATATCAAATCAGTCTATCGGCCTAATGTTCAATGAAAAATATTAGAAATTAGATTTTGTTGCCTTAGTAGGTTTTATTTTTTGCAGCAGCATTTATATAGGAGGGAATTCAAAGCCCATGCTCGCACCTCGCCCAAATTTGTCACATTTATTTGCTATGCTAGAAACTATTTCCCATTGATGGTTTTGCTGCACAAATATTAAATACGTACATAACTGTTTTCGTATAGCAACTTTCTCAAAATAAGAAGTGATCATAGAAACGGTCCGAGGTAACTCGTTTTTAGTAGCGTTCGCTCTGGCTTCAGTATACACATGTTTTTACCAGATTTCTTCATAATATCAACAACAAGGTATTAGTGAAATTATATCACGAACAGACATACAGACGGACATCGTTATATTAATTCAGAAATTAACTTCCTTTCGATTGATATAATAAAAAGTAGATAGATCGAAAATTCCATTTGTAATTTGCACACACCCGCACCAATTTAATATACGTTTAACGTAAATGATGTATAAACACCGGCAAGAACGTTTTAACTTATAACATTTTCCTGATTATTATTCTTTTTTTTTTTTTTTTTGTATTCTCATCAAACATCATTTACGTAACACCTTTGTCTCGCATTAACGCATATATATGAAATATTAATTTTATTATCAGTTTGGCCTCGCGATTGCTTATTATTCGAGACTCGACTCAATGCAATCATATCTCCTAAGTTCCATAGTTTGCTTTTTTTCGCGCATTTGAATTTTTCATTTTGAATCATTGATATTGTTATTTTTTTTTAAAAAAACATAAAATTTGCATATAATTGAAAATTTTGCATGTGATTAGAGTGGTCTCGAAACTATCATCAAGGTGGTGCCATGTTATATTATGTTCTAATGGATTTCTGTGCCATGACAAAACTTTAGCCGTTAGCTAGCGAGACCATTCCAAACGCGATAAGAATATATCTATAATATAAATGTAAGTTTTATAAGCAAAACGAAAATTATTAATAAATAATAATAAACCAGAGTAATTCATGCACTTTTCTTGCTAAAGAATGTATGCAATTTGTAGATAAGAGAATGCAAGATAAGCTAAATTGAGCGGAGCAAAACCAAGCAAGCACAAAAAAAAAAAAAAAACAAACAAACAAATTCTGTATTTTAATTAGTTTTTTTTTTTTTAATTTTATTTTTGTCTTTATTTTTTTTTTTTTTTTTTTTTTGTTTTAATTTTGTATAATTCATAATCTTTTTAAATATTTTAACTAATAACACACAAATACAATTCACGACAAAAAAGAAAAAAAATAATAAAAACAATTTGTATTGAAGTATGAACTCCCGATACGCAATCGTATATGAGTATCTGGACATAGGGACGTACTAATAAAGCGAATAAAGCAAGTATGTTAACAAAAAAAAAAAAAAAAAAAAATTATGTTACTCGTGTAAAGTTAAAAAAAAAAAACAAGAAGAACAAGAACAAGAGAATTAGAAAAGTTATATAAATTTAAATAAAATAATAGAAAATGTCATTAGATTTAACATATGTATAATGAATTTAATAAAATTATTCACAAAAATCATGAAATACTAAATATATAGAAAAATTTTAAAAGTAGATCAAAAACATTGAGATTGATATTAACGATATTTAATTTAATAAAGATTAATATTATTCAAAAATAATGATAATAGCGATTATTGTGCTTTCTTTCTGCTAAAAGAAATTTAAAATTTGGAATGCAATATAAATTCAAAGACGAATACATACACATGTATATGAATGAATATATACGCACATATATATATATATATATTTATATATATATATACATATAATCACATACATGTATATATATATATATATATATATATATATGTATATATATACACATAGCACATTCATATATATGCATATAAAACTTTTGCAATATTTTTTTAAACAACAATTCCTTAAACAACTGAAATGTTTTATAAGATATTTTTATTTATCAATAACGTGACACATAGCCCAAGCGAAACCAATCAATCAGCTCTTTGCGCAGATCATATTGACTCAAATCGATTTGAAAACCACCGAGCAATTCGTTTTCTTGTAAAGTGTCGTGGGACCATACAGTGACATGTAAAACGCGATTTTTTATTATCTCCAAAGGCATGCGATACTCCAACTATTAAAGAAACGTTAAGCACACGTAGCAGATCGTTTAGGTAAGGCATTTTCAATATTGCTGAACACTTACAGTTTCCATATAGCTTGGCACGCAAGTTTTACGAACAACTTTGGTCTTACGTTTCGTAGCCTTTTTATCGTCCGGTTTCAAATAGCATTTAACATAGGTATTGGGTTCTTGACCGCCCTGAAGCAAAGACAAACCTTTCGCGTGATGTATCTGCAAAATATTCGATGACAATTGTTTTTTTTTTTTATTATTATTTCAATTAACACAAATACAAAGTTATCTTATATCTTACCATTACAGTCAAAACTTCGCGACGATATTGCAAAGATAATTTTAACTGACCTACTTCGTTGCTATATTCCCGCCACGTTTGTGGTCGTACCTCTGAAAATGTTATTTAAAATAAGTTTTAAAAACGAATCAGAAAACATTAGCGCAGCAATACACTGCTGAGATACTCAACTCAATCAACGCAATAACCTGAACGCGGATATATTTATTTAAAATCGTTTATACAATTATAACAAATTTCAATATGCCTATCTACTGAAGATCGATGCAATTCGATCGAGCGTTGATGTAATTTGTATTTTTTTTTTTTTCTTCATGTTTCATTCACTCTTTGCTGATAGCGGGAAGACGGCTTCTTCTTTTGACCGACTTTCTACTCTACAGAAATGTTTCTCGATTGTATTTCTTACAAATGATAATTGAAGCAACACAACAGATAGAAAGTATGAAAATATATCGGATAGCGGACAAATCGATCCAAATACGGACATAATCAGATGTACATATGTTTTCAGAGACAATCGAAATGTTGCAATAATGTTACAGAATGACAAAATTTATTTTATTTAATTCCCGAGTACTACATATATATATATATATATATATATTAGATGAAATGTTTTATAAAAATGCATCACCTCTGACTTTTGACATTTCCAAATTTGCCTCTTGCTGATCTCTTAGCAACGGATGAAAGAAAGTGTAAACCAGATCCGAGTGTGCTATCTCATCGGCTGAATTGAACAGAGATAAGAGAAATTTTTGTATTTCCGGTAGCCGTCGCTCAGCCACCGATTTGACATTCGAGCGGCCCACATGGATGCCACTGGGTAAACTATAAATAAATATATATGTGAAATAAAACTATAAAAAAAAAAAAAACTCCACTTTACTTTCGTCCCCCTCCCGCCAATATACTCGCATTCAAAATTCGCTATACACGAGTATTAATTTATTCAATAACACACGTTACAGAAAACACTAATAATACGATATAAAATAAAAAATTTAAATTAAAAACATATGTTTCTTAACTAAGTACACGACAACTTACAAATAATCACTTGAAAATGAGTAACAAAATTACTTATAAATAAATGGGCTTTTTATTGAATAACAACTAATAGAAAAAGAAAAAAACTTGGGAAAGCTATCGCTGGAAAAAATTAAAAAAATAAATAAATGAAATATAAAGATAAAAAGAAACATCTTTTCTTCTTTTCTTTTCTTTTTTTTTTTCTTTTCTTTTTTTTTTTTTTTTGTTTCTAATAACCAGAGCTACAACAAAACGAACAGAATGACGCGTAAAACAAAAGGTCTACTGCTGCGGTGAAGTTAACATATACGAAAAATATCGCATAAAATCTCGAAAAAAATCAGGGAAGAGAAGACACAAAGAAATAAAGCTTATAGTATATATAAAATTCATATATTAACAAAGTTGAAAAAAAAAAGAAAAATAAATAAATAAATAGAAGAAAAAAAAAGAAGACCACAAAATGATAATTTTGGATAATCATCAAGCAACAAACTCTCGAGGTAATTCATCATATCAACAAGTACGACAAGTACGGTCTTGCGTTAGAGCGAATTTTTTTCTATTCTTTAACTACAAGATGATTGTTCAGTTTTTGACCCATATTACTGCAAGTTAAACGGATTGATCGGTACTTTCAAGGTTGAATGATTGCAAAATTTTTTTTTTTCTTTTATACATAGACTAACAAAGAGGGTCTAGCTTATTTCAATAGGCACGCTCGTATTTGTACTCCCGAGTACATGGTATAACCATATTTTGTACGCTCGCGGTTAAGGCGGGCACCCATTCCGGTAACGGAATTTTACAAAAGTTACAAGAATAGTCGTAAATCGATTGACGATTATTAACTCGTTTTCTTCTTATGCCTTAGCGTTACGCCGTAACTTGGATATAAACTTTCCTTATTTTTCAATTTGATACGTTCACTACTTGAATACACACGATTTCGCCAAATAAATCATTGAATTTTCATTTCTTGTATACATCATAAGTGATTTCTTTACATGCACTAGGGATATGCAATTTCTTAGCACAATTTCGAAATTCACCTAAATGAGAAAAATAAAAAAAATATATTTTCAAAGCAAACAATCTATTGCCAAGCCCTGCCCAAAAAGGATAAATACAGAACTTGAAATAATTTCCAATATATACTATACGATCGGCATACCGAAATAAAGTTCAAGCCAAATGCAATTTCCTTCTCGTGTTCTTCGTAAGCAATTGTCATACTAAGAACTGTTAGCTAAATGAAATCAAATCAAGAATTGCGATTAATAAGTCGCACCTTTGAGAGATTCTGAGAGATGTAAGAAAATCAATTCGGTATTCTCCGGTTAAATGTTTGCACTAGTTACTCTTCACCCTACCTATCCTTTTTCTTTCCCACTGTGGTAATTATTGCATGTTAGTTACATCATTTACGTTTGAGTTAAAATTTTTTTTACTTTTTACTCTTGCTTTGCTTACTCGTTAGAAGTTTCCGATATAACGTTTTGCCTAAGCTTGTGGATGCTCTTATGCATGATTGTTTCTGCATTAGGCATAAAGATATGGTGGTTTAGGCATCGTTCATCCTTCGAGCAAGCGGCGAAGGGAAACGATTCGACAGCTGAAGGAGCAACGGATATCACCGCACCGCTTGTCCCGCAACGGCGACGGAATAAATGGATATTCTCTAAAGACAAGCGCTATTCGCAACAGGTAATGTACGAAATTATTCCCTTAACTTTAACCCTGAAATTCGATCAAAGCTAAACGCCATTAGATAAGAAGCATTTTTAATTAAAAATTGAATTGCATTAGAAATAAGTAAGAAATTTATATTCACATCTTGACTTTCGGTCCGTCCTTGCAAGCAAACACAATAAACAATACACAATAAACAATATGAAGCGAAAAGACTATAGCTACCTGTCTATCTGTCATTTTTGTGAAAAAAAAAAAAAAAAAAAAAAAAAAAAAAAAAAAAAAACTATTAAGAAAACACAGTAAACAGTAGAAGAAATTTGCATTGCTCTCTGGATTGCCGGAAATTTTATGATGCATGCTATATATTCCACCTTTTCCATATGGTTGTAAACAATTCGACATCTGCCTAATTAATAATGAAATTAATTTTTTCGACATTTTTTGATCTTGCAGTTGTTTTTGTAGGCGACTGACTTACTCTTTAGATTAAGCACGAAAAATCACTGAGAGTGCATACGCGTGGTGGAGGAGCTGGACAATAAAGAAAAAGGCCGACGAGGCAAACGGACAATAAAAGGTCAACTCGTAATCGAACAAAGTCTTTCTATAATGTTTGTGTCTACGTATACAATGTATTACAAAGGACAATAGTAAAACTAATATCCATTCGTTCCCAAGTAATAGATATAATGTGAGAAAAACAAAAAAAAAAAAAAAGAAGCTTTAGATCGATCCACAGTAGAATGGGACCGGCTGAATGCATTTCACGCGTTTTATCTGATGCGTGCAGAAACTTAATTAGCTTTTCGATAATAAATAAATAAATTTATGAATTTCTCTCACCTAGATTTCACAAAGTGCGGCGGAAATTCATGGTATCTTTCGCATCCGTCAAGACGAAAATTTCAGTACTCAAAATAACCCGACGGTGCTATTACGTAATTAAAAGAAAAATAAATATTGCATAGGCTCAAGTGTTAATAAAAATCTTAACATTTTTTGCAGCTAATCATGCCAGAAAAATATCGGAAAGTGCGCCGTCTTTGCTTTCGCAGGAACAAAATTTGCCCCGCCCACTGTCACGAGATACAATATATGAGTCATCATCAGCTTCAACATCAAAAACTTCACAAAAACCTACCCAACGCCCCTCTTTAATATTTGAGGCGTTGAATCGCCCAGTTACGCATCCGAAAGTCTTGGAATCGTCATTGGTAATTGAGCCGTGCAATCGCAATGCGGAATGTATTAATAACAATGAAATAGTTGTTAAACGGCAAGAAAACAGGAATAGTTACATTAAATGTGAAGAAATCGATTCACAAGTTCAATACATATATGACTTGCAGATGTTAAAAGATCTGAAGAACTGTAAAGAAAATTTAATCGCGAAAGATCAGGAGAAAAAATGTCCAGCGACCATTGATTCTGCTAATAACACTGCAGAAACGAGACCCCTGCAAGACGTGCCGATTCGTCAGAACGGCGAGCGATCTGAAAGCACTGAGACCCCGGCAAAAGGGTGTCCTGCAAATTATGAACGAAACCAACTGAACGAAGACTGGGATCTTTTGAAAGATTCTCACAGCTTTGTGGATTCAGAAAGATTAGAGGATAAGAGTCATGACTTGTACTATGACTCAGTTGCAACGAATCAAGAGAGAATTTCAAATCCATCATTAAAATTTGCTGACAATAGAAAATCACTTCATATGAATGTAAAGTGCGTTGACGATTTAAAGGAGAAAAGTCTTTCGAATATTGTTTGGCCCACACAATTTCGTGCAAAAGATGTCCAGAAAATGATTGCGAGACGTTTAAGCAAGTGCTCTTTATTAAATCTAAATAAGACGAAGACCAATTTTCAATTGAACGCGTCTGACAAAAAGGAACTTGAACGTCACGCACAAAATGATTTTACAGAAAATTCGAGACTTAGTAATACTCCTCTTTCCACAACCATAATGTCTACAAGTGATAACAGTAAATGTGTAAATCATTGCATTCGATGTCAGGAGCACTATGCACAGCCAGAACAATCTGCAAATCCCTCCTCCATTAGATGTGAACATCATCGAAAGCTCGCCAATCACGAAGGGGAGGGTGAAATTTCCCAAAATGCAGCGTTAGGCAGCAGTCGTTCAACTAACCTTCACGTGACTTTTGAAAATCCACTAAATTTTAATGACGAAAACAATCTGGAGAATTGTGTCTGCAATGTTGCTATAAAAGAACGGCGTCCAACGGGTTATGAACCACCACATCAGGACATACGTGATTTAACAGATGTTGCAATTATTCCCGGAATTCGACATCAAGCATATGATTATTCTTCCAGCCCTCGTACCGATAGCATTAGAAATGTAGATAGAAACCTTTTCGAAATTGCTGATAGGGAAGATTTTTTAAATCTTGAATTGGAAAAGAAAAGCTTAAGCGGTTTAATTTCAAAAGATGCCCGAGCTAGAGGTTGTTCCGGTGATATGGGAAGCTCAAAACAAATGAAGAAATCGAAAGACCAACATGTTGCCTTTAAAGTCCTCGAAGAATTCGATATTAATCGAAAAACTAGAAATTCGGCTTTAACCAAGAGACGTCCTACCGGCTTACAGGAAGAAGAAAATTTACACGATCTTAGGGGAGCGTTCGAACTTGACGATAACATATCTTCGAAAGATCTTTCTTTCGATTTCGTTCAAAATTCATCCGATTCAAAATCCCTCGGCATCAAAGATTTTAATAAATATCAAAATCTTTCACACGATGACTATCAACTCTCTGAAAAATCTCTATTACAACATACGCCAATGCACTATTACCCGGATAAAAAACAGAATTCTATCTCATTAGGAAGTGTAAGTTGCAAAGCTTCCGAAAAACTAAGTTATGCGAAACCCGATAGCAATTCTCTAATATCGAACAGAGATAATAATGATTATGATGATCGCCATTCGTGGGGCTATTTAGGAAAGAATATTCATGAAGATTTCGTAAAAAATATTGAAGAAGAATTTTCAAAAATACGACTTTCTTATGTACATAGCAAAGATAATTGTCCAGATACTGAAACCATTACGCAGATGCAACAGCCGGCCAGTTATGGCGAAACGAAGGATGAAGGTTCGAACAGTTTTGGAAAACAATTGGATTGTTTAAAAAAAAATTTGAAAGATCAAAAAAAAAAGACAAAAGATTTTCAGCCCTCAATACACAAAGAATTCCATACTGGCGAACGCACGAATGATAAAAATAAATTGCGCAAAAGTAGGGTTACATTTGATATTAGTGCTGATGAATGCGATGTAGTGCAAGAAAAACCTGATCAACCTGATAATCGAGAGAGTATTAAAACGGGCTTAAAACAGACCAGATTAAGCTTGATAAAACTGAATTATAATGAAGAATCCGAAGATAGTTGGTCGGCTATTAGGAAATATAGAAATTTAACGAAAGAACTAAACGAACATATGAATGAAGATACCTCAATGCAATCGTCTTATCGAAATCCTTTAGCGCAATTAAAACAAGATCGGTCTTACGAAGACGAATTAGAAGAAGTAGAAAATTTAAAATTAAATTCCATAAAATCTCCCGTAACTTCTCCACGCGCTGCTCTCGAATACCGCCGGGAGATAATAAATTTAGAAGAACGACACAATGTAAATGAAAGTAGTGAAGCCTAAGCAAGAAATGTAAACGCAAAGTATATCTAATTATTATTAATAAATCGAAACTTTACAAGACAAATGTACTCTTAAATGAAAACAGTAACAAGTAAGAAAGTTTGGGGACATGTTTAGGTCAATTCCAAATTCTTTTGCAAATTTTTAGGCAATATTTTCACTTTCGCTAACGAGAGGATGTTCACCACAAATATCGCAAAGTTGCGCAAACCGACAGATGGACAGACGAAGAAGCGGACATGTTTAGATGCATTCCCAATTTGAAACTGGCTTACAATTTACATACTTTATCGGGTTTCTGAAGCTTGTTTGTGTGCGCGATAAGTGTATTGAAAATATAATTAATTCTCTCTCTCTCTCTCTCTCTTTCTCTCTCTATCTCTTTCTCTCTCTATCTCGTTTTCTCTCTTTCTCTTTCTCTCTCTATCTCCCCCTCTTCCACTACCTATCTATCTATCTGTTTATCTATCTGTCTATCTTTTTCTCTAATCGTCTCCCTCCCGTCCTTTCATCCTTTTTATCAGCTTATTTATCCTTTGAAAAAGTAGCTTTTTAATCCTTTCATCACTTTTATTAACTTCTACAACGATTCTCAAACTATTGTAATGAAGTATTGTTATGCAATTTGAGAAGGCACCCTTGATATAATGAAAATATCTCTGCTGCTGTTAAAACAGTTTAACATGCCCGCTACAATACATGGTTCCTGATTTTCTATAGCACAGATTAAATGGTTTCGATTTAGACGCATTTTATCTCATGACACAATCAATTTATTGAGATAATAGCCAGAAATGTCTATGTGAGGTCTATGTGTCCAATGAGTTCATTCGACATAACACCGTTACTCCGTTCTTTTGTTAGGATTATGTTAAGTCATTGGTTTACTCAAATATACCACAAACACTCAACGAGCTTTATTTCGTTGATCATTCCTTAATTAAATTTTAATAATTAGATATGTTAGTAAAACCTTAGAGCAGCATGGAATTGGTTAATGAAAAATGTTTTTGAAAACTTTTAAGCTACATTAGGTTATATTATGGGCCAATTTCCCTTTGCCTTTATTATAGAAACAAGTTATAATTTTTGTGTTCTATAATAAAAATAAAAATTGTGTTAGTCAATGTGCTGTAGGATATTTAATGGTCGGAATTGCTCAATTATAATGTTCTTACTCGTTTTTTATCTGACCGCCTGAAATTGTACATTTCGGATTCGTTCATCTAGCACTATCACAATTTTTGTATCCACCTCTCTCGCTCTCTGTTTACGTAATACTCTTTCTTTTCTATTATTTTTTATGGATTCCTCAGTTGCGTGCAAGTTTATATCATAAACGATTGTGTAATCTAACATGCGATATAGCGCGAAAACTCAAGTACAATATTTGGAATTAAATATTATGCATATATTTTAATGCATAAATGAGTAACGTCGTTGAACCGCATTTTATCTATGATTACAATTATGTCTTGGCTGTGATTAAAGCACGCTTCAAACGTACACTTACACATACAAAGTAGATTACGAAAAATTGAAATGTTATATGAATTTCATAGAATGAATAAATGTAGTGTAAATAATTTATATATAAGCAGAGTGCCTTTCTCTTCTATTCGCAATATCCTTCGGATATCTTCTTCCGAATATTTTTATATTTACTTTCCAATATATATATATATATATATTATCACTTACCTGTGTAATTTGGCTAATGGAAAATGTAAACATAATTTTTGATGAAATTCGGTGAATTCTTTATAGGAACGGAATAGATGTGTAGGATCTGGTTGACCATGCCTAGTAACTCTTAGTATATATGTATAATATTTTTCCATATCGTAATGCTTTTGACAGCGCACAACCATAACACTTTTCAAGCGGCCATCTTGTTGCATTCTAAATAAAAATCAAAATCGCCTAAAGATAATATTAGTTATTAAAAATTATTTGTTAATAATATTTACGTATATTTTCTAGGAACAAATGATAATAATTCTCCGCTGCCTTCGTCATTGGTGAAACGCATTTGCGCTAAATTGTGCAAGAAAAAGTTGAATTGGGTGAACCAGCTTTTTAATGAAAATTGTATCATTTTAGCAAATGAGGCAGCGGCCTCAGGATTCGATTGCGATGGTAATAGTGCCCTTCTTACATAAGTTACAGCATCCGCTGTTACTCCTGGTATGCCAGCCGTAGCCATTAAGGCTAACATATGTAAAATTAAATCACCATGTTTACGTATGATATTGAAGGCACGACAACATAAGTCCACAAAGTAATGAAAGTCTGTAGAAGGCTTATCACCTCCGTTTATAACGTAAGCCATATCCGAAGTTAAAACAAACGGTGTACGATCTCTATTAAATTATATGATATATTAAACATATGTCACATACCACACCACAATAAAAAAAAAAAATGAATAAATAAATAAACAAATAAATAAATAAAAAGAACTGTTTTCTACCTTTTAAAATTGCCAAACATTTGAGCATCACCCAAAAATTTTCCAAAATCTATATGGAATAAATGGCCAGATGTTTTTAGCATTATATTGTCATTGTGGCGATCACAAATTCCCAATATGTATGTCGCCACGCTATAACCCGCACAAGAAACTGTAAAATGATTTGAAACATTGAAGCATTCAATTGCGGTGAGGAGCATCGTTTATCTATTACCCGTAAAATTCTTTACTGCTCTTTGATATTCCAATTGGCTGGGATTTTGTTTCGCCAACCATTCGGCTATAGGACGATCCTTAAATGAGCCCGTTAAACCATATTCAACTTGAATTTTTCTTAACGTTTCAGCGCCGGATACTAACTCAATCATGCCCTTCTTATAGCCGGTGGGAACGCAATTAAAAGTCACAATTTTTAAATCCAAACCCTCAGCTAACCACATTTTATTCATAACACGTATCAATTGTATAGTAAGCATGTCTTGCTGTAAGTCATCACCAGCCTTCAAGTTAAAGAAAATTAAAATAGAACTTAGGATTAGGAGACAAATTCAAAAATACTGGAGTGAGTTTTTCACACATTTTGTATATCTAACCATCATCCACGAGAGAGCTGATTAAACAAAAATCTATATAAACTCACTAAACTATTCGTTTTCCGCAGGGTCAGGACAAACAAGCTCACTTGTCAGTGCCGTATTTTTGAATCGTTTTTTGTAAGAATTTTAAAAAAACATTTCTTTTCAAAAGTTCACTTGTTTAGAAAAACAAAATCTAATAAGTAGTTTTCACGTAAATGCTAATGATGGAAGGAAGTCGGGTAGAAAAACGCATCGATATATCATTTTAGAAGTTCACTGTTCAGTTTCAGCCATATTAACTAATATAAAGCATATTTTTTTAATTTTTTTGATTAATGGAACTTAAGTCGCTCTTTAAGTACGAACTTTGTCTATAACAAAGTCTATATATGTATATTTTTAAAGCTTACCTTAAATATTGCTGGCAACAGTTCATTATCGGATCCTATGAAGGAGATTTTCAAGGGCAATGTATTTGAATTGAAATAACTGCAAGTGCGCACATTAACCCCGATAATCTCTAGTTCGGGACCCAACGGCAATGAAGTAGGTTTGTCTAACAACTCTTGATGCACGCCGTCCATTCCAGCGCATAAAATCTTTTGACGCATAGATTCTTTAGCTTCTTTGACAGACTCAGCAATATTCGCTAAATTCTAAAACCAAATTTACGAAATGAAGGAACAAATTACAAACAGGAAAAAAACGTGTATTCGATTGGAAAGGAATCTTGAATATTATTGCTTATACTTCACAGTCTGGCAGTTTTTGAAAAAAGACGCCCATTGCAGACAATTTTTGGAACAAACTTATGATAGCCCCGACCAATGTTTCAGTTTTGGATCTCATGCTTTTGGTAGCGGATTATATCTACTTCTTATTAAATATATTTTAGTTTCCTAATCCAATTACTGTTGGCAGGCAGATGAACGAACGAAATGAAAATTTATTCATATTATCACAACTGCCTGTACGCGTAAAATGCTTACAATAATTGTTATTATACCAGATCCACCTGAACTCTTCCGGCTGTCATTAACAAAAGCGACAATATATTGAAAAGTCTCCTTGCTTACATGTTCGATCATCAGTCAGTCATTTCCTTATAGCCGGAAGATATTATAAGTATTACAAAGAAATTTTTGTATGCGATATCGATAGGTATGGGATAAGAAACGTACTTTACACATAAGATTTTGAAGAAGAAAACGCTTGGACAACTTTTCACCGCATATTGCCAACAGAGCACGTAGCATCATTTTATTGCGACGATAGTAACGAGCTTGTGTTATTAAAGAGGCGTCCAATTCATTTGCTACCGAAGACGAATCAATGGAATTTTGTGGATCATCCCCCGGCAACGAATGCACCAACTGCCAATACATATGATGGGCTATACGTGGTGATTCCAAACACTTACAAAGTAAGAATTTAGCCATAGCCGATGCTTCATATGTATCATGTTTAAGCGCTTGCAATAATTGCGGCAAATAGTCCGCTAATTGATCGTTGGATAACTGTGAAATCCATTCCACTGCTTTTTCTCGCACTTTGGCATCCGGGTAGCGAGGCAATAATAACTCCAAAGCTTGTAGGGGTGATAGAGGCGACCAAGAATGTAAAAGAGAATGTAAATCCATGAGACTGGCATAATCCCAACTGTGAGCAGCATGCAAAACTTTGGCTAGTGCGTAGGGAAAGTTGTGCAAATATAAGCGTTTCTCCCAAAAGACTTCACGTTTGTCGGTAGCGCCGAGATACCCTTGTTCGGCGGTATCCAAAAGCTCTTGTTGCAAATTAGTGTCCAAGGAATTAAAATCGTATCTACAAAAAAGATGAATGCTTATAAAAATGTTTAATAATGAATTGAAGGTAACTACTTAGCGGCTGGTTTTGGGTTCTTTACAGGTTCCGGAAATTGTATGCGTCCTCCGTATGGTGGGATTTCAATGCTTAACACCGGACAAAAATCAGGCTGCGGATGACATCCACGTGCCGGAGCAGGCCCCAGGAATTTATCTGCTGTGGCCGGCCACATAGACAACAAATATGAACCACAAATCATTTCTCTTTTATAATCGAAAAGCTGTATTGCACACCAACCCAATTCGGTAGTTATTTGACGCTTTTCTGTACTTTCATTAGAATTCGGTTCATTCTCCGCTATTTGTATACCATATAAAACGAATAATAAACGTGCCTCCCGTGGTAAAGTGCAGATGGGATTTTTCTCAAACGTAATCCAAGCAGAAAAATTTAAACGCGCAAACAATCCACCACTGGTATCATTTGAGCATCTTGTCACGACCGGATCTGAGATGAAACGTGATCCGTAATTAATTTGTACACCTAGCGAATAATTATCATATTTCCATAGAGGTGGCGGGCGATGTAGACAATTAATACTGACCACTACCGGTTTTAAAACGCATGAGATATGTAGAGGAGCTGAGGAAAAATTGTTTGATATTGAAAGAGAGATCAGTACAATTTGTTTTCTTTATTACTTACTACTGGAATAATCAACGGTTTTCACGGAAAAATCAACTCGAAAAACATTTGAATAAAGCTCGATTAGCTCTTGGACGGCATCGCGCAACTGATTACATTTTAGTCTAATTTTTTCCAACATCGAACGCGGTCTCAAATTCACTTCAGCATAATCGCCACAATCACTGACAATTTCTGGATTATTGGACGAACTGGAATATTTACGTTGACCTCCTTCGCATAGATGTTTTAATTCTCCTACACAAGCGGCTATCTCCAGTGTATCAATAGAACCCAATAAGGCACAAATGGCTTTAACGCCCTGTACAACGCCGGAGCAAGAAAGCATAGCGCGAGAATTATAATCTCCAGCTGCCGACTCCAGCTTATCGATCTCTGTCTCCAATGTTTCAATTAAAATCATCATATTATCGTAAGTTATTGTGGTGGCCATTTCATTAGGCAAAACATCCTCAGGACGTAAATCGCAATCATTATAATCATCACGTTGAGTCCGTGCTATAACCCGCATATTGCCCTCTGTTTTTAGGCATAAACCTAACTGGACATCCTTTTCCATTTTTAAACTATTGTGAACGCATTCTAGTTGACTGAGTTTAGATAAATTTGATAACCATTCTGCTACCCCTATGGGTTTTGCGGCACAATCATTCACAGAGCCACGTATTTGACCTTCCAAACAGCAAAATGCCTGCACTATTACCAATTCTACGGGAGTATTTACTAAAACGAGAAAAAAAAAAAAATAAAAACAAATTAATAAAAATGGATTATGGTTATAGAAATATCACCTACTATCGCATGTAAATACAACTGGTACACCATAACCTTTAAATTGGGCCTTGTTAGGCGAGTTAGCCTCCGCTTCCGGAAAAAGAATATTTATTGCCGGATGCACCAGTATTTTTATGCTAGTTTCAACCGGATAATGATAACTGAATTCTGAAGCTATTATATGACCAACATTTGTAGTCTCATCGTCATACAAATAATGTTGTCTTAAAGATTTTACCATAAAATAAAAATCTAATAACTCTGAATCAACAGTACGACGCTCAGTAACCATTTCGTATAAGCGAGAGCCAGTTTTTCGACGATCTAGCACATGACTCAGTTCCGACGCAGGCACATTTGGTTTGTTACCTACTGCATTGCTAATAAAACGATCCGTAAATGATGAACTATTAGCGAAAGTATTTGTGGTAATATCATAGCCTTGACCGCTGCTGTTACGTGGCGGTAAAGGTGGTGGTGGGGTAAGTGGTCCCAATGAAAGGCTATCTTCTTTTTGAAAATGGCTATTGCTGCAATTCGTCTTGTCTCCAACTGCAAGGATAGAAATTAACAAGTTATAAAATTCAACTTTTTTATTTTGAATTTCAAATATTTCTTTTACCATTCACGTTCACGGCTGTTTTATCAAATTTATTAACTGCCTCATAAACGGGATCTGAGTAATGAGTACTGCCACCACTATACAAGTAATCAAAGGGATCATATTCCGCATAGTAAGAAGTGCAGTCAGATGCTTTGTCGCTCTCTGAAAACATCAATCGGAACATTCAAGAAATGATTTTTTGTGCAAGTTCCCGAAATTAAAATTTATTAAGCAAAAAAAAATTAAATAAAAATACAAATAAAAAATTCTCTAAAATGCTTTTTATCTCTGTCTATCTCGATCTCTAGATGTTTGTGCAAATGTTTCGCAGTTTTTATTTTTGTTTCTCTTTTTATATATTTTTGCCAAATTTGCTTTTTTTTCTTAAGTTTTATATCATCATTTTAGTCACCTATTGCTTTACTATTTTACTACTTTCCCTTCTCTTTTCGAATCTAAGTTGTCCTATCAATCAATTTAATTTGTTTTTACCTAAAAATAATAAATAATTGACAATAACAACAATATAATCTAAATCACTCTATATATATTTTGAAACTTTTTAAAAAATTCTATTATACCAACATGGATTCGTATAAGGAAAGGCTAAAAATTGATTGATTGAATTTGATTTTCATATTTCGCGAATATGATTCGCTGGGCGATTATTTGCATACGCTGTCCGTCGATTGTTATGCTAACGCGGTCAAAACCATAATTTACCTCTCACCGCTAAACAACATATTAAATTTGTCATATACTTTTAGCGTAAATGTAACGTAAATATACGTTTTATATATATTGAATACAAACATGCATACAAACGTTGCTATCAAAGATTACCTACCGAACGAATTTCTTTAGCCACTTTCTTCTAAACATAAGAAGAGAAGAATCAGATAAAATCGATCAATTAAATTTTTTGCGAAATACTTTCCGAGGCTACGAATAAGACGAGGCTACGAATAAGACGAAGCTACGAATTCCTCCATTGACACTGCTTAAGCAGCATATATGTATTATCGACAGAGTATATTCATACATTCAAGAGATGGCATAGTTAACATTTTATCATATTCGACAATTTTTTGCATACTTCTTGACCAAAATACTATATATTCTGACTTCGTGCTACATTATAGCTCACCTTGGCGAAGTGTATACAACATAGTTTTTTCACGATTTGAATACGTCGAGATGCGGTTTGAAAAAACATAATTTTTTTGTTTAATTCGAAAAAAAAGTGCTGTCGAAAATCATCAATTGCTATCCATTATGCAAAAAGGATATGAAGATAAGAAATTATTTGTAAGCGACGGCAAAATCGAACACCTGTGGCTTTACACGCAACGAAAAATTATCTGAACCCAGCGCTTAAGAGGAACAGACGCAATATATGGATAAAGTGATTTTCCAATATGCCGTCACTCAACCATGAATTGCAAAATCTGTCGACGAAACGTTAAAAATAAAAATAGATTCGCTGTTTCACTCATTGTTTTCATCAGCCGTTGCGGCTTGTGATTACTTTTTCGCTCTCCGACGAATTATAAGTTTGAAACATTTTAGCGAAATACAGTTAGGTTTTGCGCGCAATATTACCAACTTGCCTAAGCGGTATTTTATATAATTAAAGTGTCCAAAATTCTTTCAACTGTAATAAAGAAATATGCCTTTAATATTTAATAGGGCTCCCCTTCAAATTAAAAATGATTTGGTTTTTTATACCTGTCACCGGATGTACATATATCAGTATAAATTCAGTATAAAATTTTGACTCGATTTTCATCCACGATTCGCTTTACAAAAATTAAGATAAAAAGCTGATATTTGATCGATTTTAGTTCGTGAACATAAGCCACATTTCGAAATCGTCCGTCATCAGCCTACAAATATGATCGATCACTCGTCAATCTAATCAAGCTATCGGTAAAAAAAAAAAAAAAAAATTAAAATGCACTTACCAAGTTTAAGAACTACAAAGCTAATACTTGGTATAAATATACTTTAGGCTTGTCTAAATGGCCAGTGTGGGAGAGCTTCTGGTCCACTAACTAGCGGGTTTAATATTTAACAAGGAATTTGCATGTTTTAGATATTGATTATAGATGATGCTAGAAATAAACGGTTTGCCGTAAGGCGTGTCTGACTTTATCTATCATTTTATCGCCACCAGATGTACAAAATGAGAATGAAAGAATTATTAAACTCTTACGAATTATGTATACAAAAATGTTTGAACCATTCGAGAGTTGATCCAAAGTTCTGGTAATAATATATATATAGTCCGACAATATTGATTAATACACTTTAATATACCTAATCGCTGATAAATAATTTTTTAAAAATTCAACCAAAATCAGTATGTTAATCATATATATATATATATATATATATATATATTTATATATTTCAAATTAAGTAAAAAGAGAAACAAACAAACAAACACGTGATTCCAAACGACTAAACAACAAAGAGTAGCAGTGATAAGAATATGGTGGTTAATATGTTTAAAATAAGGCAAACGTGATTATAATGCAGCAATAGCTTAATGATGAAGGGGACGGGCGGAGGGAAATGTTGAAAATAAACAATTAAAATTAGAAAACGAATAAACAAAAAGGACTATGTTCATAATACCGAATAAGATACGTATAAATAAAGTTCCCGTAATAATTATTACAAACCGCATCCCGTAGTAAACGAATGAATAAAACAACACAATCGTTACATTTGTTTTATTCGAGAACATTTTTAACACACAATTACCCAAAAAGATATTCATTCGGGAGTTGTTGAAAAAAATGTCCGAATATATTCAATTTATTAAGTTTACAAATTATTTTGAATGTATAATAAATTAATGTATAAAGATTTTTTTTTTTTTTTTTTATGAGACACATAGACAAGACCATATATGAATACTTTTTTACAATTAAAAAAAAAGTTATTTTAATGAAAAATATTACAAAAAAAAAAAAAAAAATGCTTTTTTTTTTTGCTTTATCAGACCTTAGCTTTAAAATATAGCGCTGCATCTTAACCATTATTAAACACATTAACCAATCATTTCTCTTAAATGAAAATTTAAAAAAAATATATATATATATGTATATATATAGAAAGAAAGAGAGGGCGAGAGACAAACAAAGAGAGAGAGAGAGAAAGAGAGAGGGACAGAGCGTAAAAAGAAGAAAATTGGTAAAACGCAAAATTTCGGCAAGAAAAATTTAACTAAAAATTCCTTTAAATTCTTCTACTGTTTACATGTGCATCCGTCTACGTACACACACGCACGCACGCATGTTTGCATGTAGGTCAGTAAATATGTAAGCATAATGAGTGTGTACAGAATGTGTATGCATGTGAGATTGGTGCGTATATGCATGGGTGTTGTGTGTGTGTGTGTGTGTGTGCGTGCGTGTGTGAATGTGAGTGTGATTCATATATAAAGAACTAGCTTTCAAAAAAAAAAAAATAAATAATAATAATAAATAAATAAAGCAAACTAATTTTGCAAAATAAACGTGGCGGTTAAGAGGGAAGACTTTGTTCAATGGATGATGTTAAAACATATACCTACACATATATATATATATACTATTATAATATATTCATAAGAAATTGCGTTATCACGTATATCAAATTTTCTCACGATCCATAATAGACAACTATTATATGTATCCATCACCGAGGTATCGTTGCACCAATTTTATCCTCCCGCTTACGACACCCAGAAAGGAAAACGCAAAAAAAAAAAAAAAAAAAAAAAAAATACGCATCTAAGTGTACATATATTCTTGATCATTGTAATCTCCTGAGTCGATTTAGATATGTCCCTCTGTGCATCCATCCGGCTGTTGGTATTGCAAATTGCTATTTATTGTTGCGGAAGCCACGGTTGCAAAAACTGATGCAGAAAACTTGACCTACAGGTTTCTTAGCAGCCGGCCACAGACCAACTTTGAGCGTGTGCATAAGTCATTGTTAGCACGAGCACTTCAGACAAAAAACTAACGTTACAACTTCCAATAGATACTGACCTATAATCCAGCCGTAAATATTTATATAGCCACCTAAAATTTCGATATAGAAATTACAAAAAAAAAATTATTTTCAATTTCTAAATTTGTGGCTTGGTATTTTGCATATCAAAAATTCGCTTTAAAGGGAGATAATCTTTCTCGCCTGTTACTCTTAACAATGTGAAATCATATGCTGAAAAGGAAAATATCTGTGAAAAGCTTTAATTTATTATTTTAATAATTATGAATGGTGTCGCATAGTATAAAGGAAATTAAATCTTTTTTTTAGAATCTCAAACGCAGAAAACAGAGAATTCATGGAGGTGAACCGATAATGTGGTCCGCGAACTTTAAGTGGTTCGAAAAGAAGACAACAGTCTACTCATTTGTAGAATCAGTTTGATATGAATTGGTGTAAAACTTAACAATCAATTTAAGCTACAACTGGATTAAGATATAATTCTTTCATCAGTGTTCGAAAAACATAGGAGAAGATGTTTGAAATCTCATGTACGGAAAGTATTAATCCTATCGATGCGTTTCTCAAGTATGATAGATCCCTAACCAGAAAAAAACAAAAAAAAGAAGAGAATCGAAGAAATGAGTAGTGGGTATTTAAACAATTTATCACACACCATGAAATTGGAAATCGATGTGTTTCTAACAATAGATTTTAATTTAAATAAAGCGCATTTAACTTTTTTCTTGGAATTATTACGATTTTTCTTTTTTTTTTTTTTTGGTTTTTAACCGCCACGACTAAGAGCAAACCACTGGTGACTAATTAGAAACTAGAAAATAAACATGAAAATGGTCACAAGTGTTTTTTTTTTTTTTTTGCAGGAAAACACAAAAATAACTTGTTATATCAACCGAATAATAAATCTAAATTAAGCCTTTTTAACCGGTTGAATTATTATAATATGGAAAAAATATGTGTTTTTATTTATTTATTTATATTTTACTTTTTGTTGGTTTATGAGAAGTTCTTTTATTTAGCTATTTATTTATTTATTTTTTTTGCAATTCATCTTTTTAAGTCAATCTTTTTTGAATTCAATCCTTGAATTATTTTTTATTCGATTTTTCGTTTATTATAAGTTTGTAGATGTCTTTTTACATTCTGCTATTTTCTTAGTCATCTTGTTAATGAATGGACTTATAGCTAATGTTTGTCAACAATTTTATGCTAAGAGTTTAAAAAAAAATTCGACTTCTTACCATCATCGTTTTCGTTTAACAAAGGATCAAACGCTTCCAGCACACTAACCCGAGAGCTGTAAAACAAATAATGCAAAAACAATTTCATTAGAATCTGCATATATATTTATATAACCATAGAAACATTAAATAGACACATACTCATCTTCTTGACTTAAATCGATTAAATCATCGCCTGAACGCGATTTACGAACAGGAGGCGTGTGACGACGTAAGCCAGAAGGCATACTCGGTAGAGAAGGGGCCACTGTACCGTTATCGGAACTGGTGTTAGCAGCCCCATCTCTAGTTGACTGATAAGCTTGCTGCGAAGTAATACTTTGATGTGAGAAACCATATGCATTCGAATAAACTGGTGGAATATTGGCTGTTGTGGCAGTAGCGTAAGTTCCTCCACTGGGGACGGCTGGGATTTGGGAGTAATATGAACCCACAACACTAGATGCTGGTGACGCCACGAAGCCCATTTGTCGCGGTCCGTAGAGACTCGCTGTTGATGGCGTTCGCATATTGTAAAGTTTTTGCAATTCGTCGTGGGTTAAGGAAACCTTTTGTTGTTGTGGTGGAGAAGTAAATGGTACCAACTGCAAACTCGCGCGTCCAACAAACGGCGTAGATGTTGCTGGCGTTGCAGCCGTAGCTCCTATATATACTGGATATATAGGAGCAGCTGCTGTTGGACCTAACGGCATTAAAGCAGTCTGCTGGGTTGTGGTTTGCAGCTTTTGTAAATTTTGTATTAACTTTTCAAAAGTGTTTTGTTCCGGTTTCTTTGATGTGGGACTAGAAAAATTAATTAAATCACTTTCCGGTCCCGTGGAGGAAGGTGGAGGAGTTTTTGACCTTTCTAAGGGTGTATGGCGTATAGTTACACCCACTTGTTGACGATGCGTTACCTCGGAATGACGTCTTTGTGGTAACGTTAGGGGTTTCTGGAGTGGCTCGTCTTGCGAGCCACCGCCCGTTGATTCCACTTTAAACCCACGTAAAAATTCTTGTCTTCTGAGCTGAGCATAATATTTATTTTTTGCTTCTTGTTGTGTGGCCTCTGAGTATGAATGCCCATATTTTTTCGTACGATTGTATTCATCTAAAGCCTGCTGTTCTAAACTAAGCGCTGTCGCTTTGGCCAAATCCTCACGGAATTTCTTTTCGTAATCAATGTCAGTATGATTAGACATATTTTTTTTTTTTTGTCGGTCTTATAAGTTATTTTGGAAAAGGCGTCAATTAAAATTGATTAAGATGAGGTATTCAGAAGCTTCGAGAGGCTAAAAAATTAAAAGAAAGTATCTATTAGGTGCTAGCAATGAGTGAGTAAGTAAAAATATCGCAAATTATTTAAACGGTCATTTGTTTTCAAAAAATTTACAAGAAAGACTCTTTTATATACCACACCAAATTTGCCAAATTTGAAGGTAACCAAACTTGTCATTCTGCTTGTAACAATTATACTTATTGTATGTATTTAAGTGTATTTAAAAGACTGTCAGGTTTATGAATAGAGCCGCATAATACGACATTATGGGTTTATTCGGGTTGAAAATTACAGAGAATCAAGGTCGAATTTTTCAATCTTATTTTGTTTTTAATAAATAGATCACAAACACGTACTATAAACGAAATACAAACATATCTTGAAAAATGTTAATATCTTTCACACTATACAGTAACATCTTTTACACAGAATATCAAACAACATATAAAAAAAGATCAAACGACAAACGAATGCAAATCGTAAGCAATATTTTTCTTAAGTTCAACTAATAACACGGGAGAGGTGTTCACGGCACAATGTCTCCTTAATACCCAATATCTACGGTATATAAATGTGTAGACGCATAGAGTGAATATACAAAAATATGATTCCGAAGATCTAACACACCTTATCCTATTAGTTAACTAACTACGAGACAAACGGCCAAAGCTGAAGGGATTTATGTTGGCTCAAAATTTATTTTACAAAATAAAATGGAAATACATTTTTAATAAAGGAAACTACAAATGTTACACAAAATATTGATATGAATGCCTTATAAGAATAACAGAAATACTAAATAATAAAGATGTAAAGATCAGCATATCGTAGATGGATATTATTTAAATAATGCTGAACACACAAAGGATTGTTGTTTCAATGCATTTTATCTAATTTGAAAGGCAACTACAAAAATAATTTCAAATGTTTGATTGTGTTCGAAGCTTTGATTTGAAAAAAATTCACGCGTGCCATTTGAACTGAATCGTTTATTACGCTGACAAATTCATACTTATGCTGTTTAGTTTGTTCAATGCACTTTTACCAATATTCGAAACAGTACGTAAATTAGTCTATATTGATTTATATTGTGGAAAAAGCATAAGCAAATAAAGGACAATTGTAAGAGAACATGTCTCGCAAGCTATAAAAGTTGGAATGCTTAAAGAATATAAGAAAGTGAAGGCAAACATTTAGAAATTTAGCGTTTGCAATGGTGTTAACAACTGATTATACAGAGAATTAGCTTTTAAACATAGTAAAAGGATTAGAATCAACAAGCACTAACCAATCTATATATAAACATTAACGATATAAATTGTTACAAAACGAGTCGTCTTCGCTTAAAGAATATTTTACCTTACAAAAGGCGAAATTAAATAAACCATTGATTCTCAATTACTTGTTTTCGCAACGTTGAAAAGATATCTGCAATGTATTCATCCATTAACTTACTTAATAACATGCAAACAAATTTGCATAAATGTTTGCTGATTGTGTTGGTTTCTTTAAGTTTGCTCTAATTTTTCCAGTTGATTAAAATAGTTTCACTCATTTTCCTATCTGCACTTGATGTTTTTTTAAGTTTTTTCATTCTTTCCACATAATATTTCACTGACGTCGTGCGTGTTTATACACACGCACACGATGACACAAATTATTTCCCTGATTGCTTTCCCGTTAACATTTTTTTTTTGTTAATCTTCACATTTTTTTAAAAGGAATTTACAATTTTTATTAATTTTCAATTTTAATAACTAATTATATTTCGGAATGTGAAAAATGTAGAAGGAGCTCTTCTGCACTATATAAAAAAGCCAACAATAATACATTGTAAAATACATTATAAAAAGAATGTACAGGGTTGTGTTCAATAGTAGTTACATTTATAAAGTTTTCACTGTTAGTAAATCGTTTGTTACGTTATTTAAAATTACGATATATCGGAAATATGAAGCAGTTATTATTTCTAGAAATAAAAGAACGGAAAAGTTGAGGAATATGCGCATCGTCTGGAGGCAATTGCATTCTGTTTTTGAAAAATTGGAATAACGGTAACTTTCATGTAAATGTCAAGTAAAAAATGTACTACATAAACAAAAAAAATAGGAATTTAATATGCATTTAAAGCGATATTAAGAAAAGTCTTCAGTTTTATAGTAGTATAATGGCAGTACATTAGCCGCTAACTTACATGCAGAAACACCTGAACTATACGATACGATTTGTTTTTTGCTAAAGTCAAAGATTCTGTATTCTTCAAGATCATACATTTCATATTAATTTCACTTTTAGTAAATTCTCTCTCCTAAAGTGAAAACACAGTTGGCGCAATATGCACTCTGCATACATTTTTAGCAAAAATTGAAGCCTTCTGTATGTATCTGAATTGGCACAGAGCACAGAGATCTAGAGAGAGAGAGAGAGTGCGTAATATGTAAACAAACAAAATGAAATTCATGGGCTGATACAATGATGAGTTATACCTTTTTTCGGGATGGGTCTTCGTCTTTGTTGACCTTTTAGAGATTTTGTGGGATTGGCAAATCCTATGTATACAAATAATTTTTTTCTTTTTAATTACATACGTAATCTATTCAAAAAGATAATAAGTAAATGTTATATCAAAATGAAAAAAATAGCGGAGATGATTGTTCCTAAAGGTGACAATATGACAATTTCGATATGATGTTTAAATAAATAAAAAAAAACTGTATAAATTAGAAAAATTCCCTGAAATTGTTTAAAGAAAAAAATTGCATTAATTTCTAAATAGAAGATCCAGTACATGAGGTCTTTTTAATCTTCTTATTTCATTAAATTAATTCAGAAGAGCTATTGCCGTGTCTATTCACTCTGACAAAATATTTTGAGGAAATGTGTTGAATTACCTTTTTGATGAATGGAAAGTTCAGGTTCTCATGAATAATTTTGCTGCTAACGAACCACGAGTGATTAAACAATAAGACGAAGGGTTTTTGATTATTCTTGAAGAATATCAATGTGAGAGTCGCTGGCTGTTCCCTGTGTTTTAGTTTTGCTCTAGGAGTGGAAGCAGTCTATTTAGATGAACCAGAGTTTTTAAGAAAAACAAGCAGTAAACCAGTTTTTTTATACGAGCTCAACATTTCCTGGTTTATTTAATTTAGCAACCGTAACTATTTCTGCACATTTCCATTATGTTGGAAAGTGACTCAATCTTAGCCTACTATTAAAAATTAATGTTAAGGAGATGAAAGCCTTAGTTGGTAAAGATTTAATATTTATTTAATATTTATTCCATTTATCCAATCATAACCAAAAGGTTTTTTAACGTTTAACTTGCTGACTTCTTCCTTGACTTCGGTCTAGTAGGCCAATTCGTGGGACATGGACTAGAAATCTAGAAATTTCAATATTCCTCCTGCGTGTGAAGTTCGACAAAGATTATTTGGCTGAAAAGTTTCTTCTAAATATTAAGAGAAATTTTCGGCTTCCTTTATGTTATTTCTGCACTAATTTCCGGACCAAATTCGTAAAGGAGCAATTTGACCAGTTGGTCATTTAAAGTACCTGGTTACTCCATAAGTAATGTTCATCAAACCTGCCTGAATTAATGTTCCATTCCAAATTCCATTCATCTAGAGGATTCCTGCTGTTTTGCTGCTACCTTCTTAATCAGCTCTTGTTCCTGATTATACGCGTTATAATATATATCGAGATTAATCAGAATTTCTCGGAGTAGGTATATTATTATTATTATTTTAATTTTAGACTAATGAATTGAATTCTTAGACTAAAAAAAAGACATTGAGCACTAGCAACACAGGCTATCGGCTCTAATTTAAATAAATGGATATTAGATAATAAGCTTAGTAGTATTAATAAAGTAAAATATTGCATTGATATTCTGTTCTGAAGCTGATTGTAGAATGTTCAAAGGGTTAATCGTTCCAAATGCAATACTTCTAGCCAAGGAAAAGTTGAGGCAGTCGCAGAGAATGTGCTTTATAGTAAGAGTTTGTCCACAACAGCAGATTGGGGGAGAAGATTTCTTCAGGATCCATTGGTGAGTTGCAATTGTATGACCAAGGCGAAATCTCGAAAATGTTTGGAGCTTGGAGTAGATATAAAACCAGCTTGATGAATAAGTTTTGAAAAATCTTCTAATGCATTATCGATATCAAAAGAGTTTTGAAAACTTAGATTATGGTGTAGATTTTTGAAAATTCCGTTACTTAAAGTCGCAATATCAATGTTACGATTGATGGCGTTATATTTAACGAAGATGTTGAGAAGAGTCGTGTTGAAGTTGATAATCAATGGAGTAAGATCAGAAGAAGATAATGTCATCATAACCATAAATATAAAGTAAATTATCGGGAATACCAGTAGATACAGCCGAGTGGGAAAATAAACTGCGCAAATTGAACTATCAGAACTATTGCAATTCACATTAATACCGCAAACTTGTGAAAGCCGTTTTCTGAAGATAATCGAAGTTTTCTATTTAATAGTAGCTTTCTATAGAAACGCAGAACTAGCCTGAAGGGAGATTGATAGTTATTAAATTATATCCATTGCATAGATCCCTTAAAGCCTGAACCTCACGAACATGTTTCTTGTAATGCCTCTCTTTTTGTCAGCCGTATTTTTTCCGAGTGTTCTCTATGAAAACCTAACGAACCCCTTGAGAGAGTGCCTTGGAGTGACTGGTCTATAGTATACATAATTTCCAGAATTCGCCTTACTCTCCGAGCACGCGAGCCTGCGACGTTATGTAATGTTTCAGATAGCTGCTTCACTAACCAGTTGCTGCATAATTATGTCTGACCGAAATATCAGTAGTATATATATACAGTAGTATATATATAGTATATATATATATATACATGTCATAGCCGTTGTTGTAATAAAGAACAAGTTTTTCTTGAGATGAAAACGTCACATAGGAGAGTTTGACGTTCCGCTTCGTCATAGATATGGGATTCAAGGATATTCATAAAGTCTTCATATTTAATGTTAACGAAATTCCAGAGAGAGACTGAGTTCATAAATATACAAATATGACGGAGTTTTTGATAATAAAATGTGTAGCTACATGAGACAACCCCGTCGCTGAGAAATCTAATTTCTAGAAGAACCAATGATTCTTTCTCTTAACCCAAATCCGCCCTTTAAAAGTGCAAAAAAGAGCTCTTTCGGAGATGGGCCATTCATTAGAAATAACATTGAAGAGTTGACGGCATCGGTCTGGTACAACGTTTTAACATTCCTGGTTCGAATGTCTATATACGTTTTTCAATATATTTCAGAAGATTGGAAAATGTAGTACGTTGTTCAAAGTTGGTCTTAGGCAGGACTAATGCTTTATAAATTACCAGTGATTTTGGGAGGCAATTCTGGTTTTGTTGGTAATGAATTTGATGATGTTATAGGCGGATTAACAGTCTTTGAAGGCTTTCTCGTTACACCCTCGAAGAGTTAAGCTATCATTTATTTAAGTAGAAGAGATTTCACCTGATTGACTTTAGTTCCTTTGAATAGAAATCAAGATCGGCACATGTATCAAAAAAGATATTAGCTTTTATCGAGGGATTACTCATAGCCACTGAAAAAGATGAGTCAGCGAACACTATTAAAAAATTGTCAATATATTGAGAAATATGGATTTTGCCTGCAACCTAGTTGCATATAGATTGAAAAAGATGGGGCTCAAGCAATCCCGATAATTGCTTGAGGCAAATGTTCGTAGATATGAGTTTTTGAAAGACTTAAGAACGAACTAGAATAATGTTCCAAATGTTTTAGAAATCCATAAGTCTCTCCTTAACCAAGAAATCAATTATCTTTATAAATACACCGAAATTAAGGAAATCGAACTTTTAAATCCTTATCAACGTTAAGAATGGGAATAACTTTCATATATCGCAATTCAAGACACCCAAGCTTCCACCGAGAGTACCCTAATTATGTCATACTTGATTCTGCCACATCCGGTGGCAATAGCCCGAGATGTTCTGCATACCCGTTTAGGTTGAAATGAGTTTTTTGTTCTTTCGTTATGAAATAAGTGCAGATTTATTAACATACAATATGTACTATTATATACCCACAATTATTTAAAATTAATTAATTGTATAAAAAATTTGCTTTTTTTTTTTTTTTTGGGCTGTTGAGTTAAAATGAACCGAACTATGAGAAATTAATGCTTGTAATAATTTGTTTACGCGTGCTTATCAACAAACGAACGGAGATTTTTAAAAAAATCGGCTGCTTTATTTTAACATTTTAGTTATTATATGCCGAAATATCCCTTGTTTATTTATATTAAAGGTAATAGCGTAAACGTTCTCCGATTTTGCCCAATACACGCTTGAATACAAAAGTGATACGTGATTACCCCGTCAAATTTTACTTGCTTACATTCGCCCATATGCTGGCCTCAACAGGTGGATGTGGTGGATATGTATACATTTTATTAAAAAAAAATGTATACATTTCACCAAAACGCAATTTAAGTTTACATATGTTTCATCAAACTTACACACGTTTCAGTTCGCATTTCTCTTAAGTGGTGTACTTTATCCCTCTTTCTAAAGCAACATGCTTGGATTTTATATTAGATTACTTGTGATCATTCATCATTAAATATAATATAATATAATATATATATATTGTTAAAGGTAAGCAATAGCCAAATGAGCGAAAGCTGTGTAACACAAAGACGTATTTGCGATCGATACTGGAAGAGTCGACCTAAACTTAAGAGCTACATAGTTTCTATTATTGCTTATTTAATGAGATTAGCTCAATTAATAAGCGAGCTTAGCATTTTTTTTCTATTTTTTGCAAAAGGCACTTTCACAAGAAAATGTTTAGCAATTTAAAGAGAAAATTAAATTATGCCATGCAAGAAGGTTTAACAGTTACCGAAAATCTCCAACAACAATATAGACAACGTGTCTCCAACTCAAAGGTACAATCACTAAATGTAAAATCAAATTTCATTAATTATTATTATATGAAACACTTAATTCATATATTTAGAATCCAACGAATAGCAGTAATTCTTCTTTGGTAAGTTCGATAAGTGAGCTGGGCGTACCTTCGAATGTTAATGCAAGTGCTGGTTGCAAGATTTTAAGTAAATACGAACATGACTGGCAGATGCTACATCAAAATAATGAGGAAAATTCAAAAAAAGCTGCTGAGCTCGCTGAGCAAATAGATAATATAGAGCAAAAAATGTCTAACCATCAAATTATTATAGCCGATTTATTAACAAGTTTAGCGGGCCTCCCAAATTTAACCGAAAAGTTGAAATCCTGCCAACACACACTAGTCGAAGTGCAAGAGCTCCACAAGTTGGTAGAAAGAGATTTCGAAAAACTTGAAGATTTATGCGAGGAGTGTGACTTTCAAGAGTTTCGATGGCAGAAGCATGTCGAGTTGGCAAAGTATAAACAGAAGAAAATGGGTGAGACAATAATCTGCTTAACATATTAGGTAAATGAAAAGCTTTGTGGATTTGCTTCAAAAAATTCAAACCCATTTTTTTTTTCTATTTTAACTTAACTGCATCAAACTGTGTGTGTACCATATCGATCGATAATCGTTTGTTAGTATAGCAAGCACCGAAATCGCCGAAGGACGAGGAATGCATTCATTTTCACGTTTGTAACGCCCACAAGGAAGCTACAAAAGCTTCGCAAAGCCTTCTTCTTCTTGATAAATATCAAATTCTAAAATCGATTTAAACATGTGCGTCTCTCCGTATGTGTATTGTCTAAATTCTCCTGGCCGCAAAAATGAAGCTGCCGACGTCAAATTTGGTAGAAACATTTGGAGTTCTTGTACGCAACTTGATATTGAAAATGAGCCAAATTGGTAAAAAGACGCACCTAGATACCGCCACATAAACTCAGAACATCTGTGTTTTCCAAAGGAATAAAAAATTAGTTTCTTACTCTTTACCACACACAGAAGACAAATGAACAAAAATTTGAACGCATATTCTACGGACGTTGCTGCAGTCAATTCAAATTTTATTTGTTTCTTCCATACCTTTATAACGCGCAGAAACAATGTATCTAAGCAGGTCCGTATGTTCAGAAAGAGATATTCCCGACAAATTTGCAAAAGCATTTGAAAATGGCCCAAGCTGGTCAAAGAACGCGTCTACAAGACCCGCAGGTCCATACAATCAAAATTGAAAATATCTTTACTTTCCCTATCCTTTGATCGTTGCTCATAAAATACAACAAGTGCACGATAGAAATTTCTACAAATTTACCTTGTGAAAATAGAAAAAAACAACCACGCCTACCCAATATTACGGAGTATGCAAATTTATATTTTTCCTTTTTTTCAATTTTTAATCGGATAACGGTAATGGTTATAAAGGATTTGGTCATAACCGTATATTATTTTCTTACTCATTTTGTATATCTAAGCTATTATTATCCCTTGAATGTGAAAAAGTGAATCAAATGCTCCTCGGGGATCTATTTTGAAGTTAGTGTTACGCTATGAAAAGTGTTTTATGCAGAGTGAAGCAAGCAAATGGTTCTTGGATGCGGCAAGGTCTGAATTATACAGTGGATGGATCACAACCTCTCAGCCAAGTTCTTCCAATTCTAGCGACTCATTAAAGATACGTCTCGTCTCGCATTGCCGTGATAATAAATAATACTTTAGCCTAATTGCTAGTTTTAATGCCAACAGTTGTTGATAATTGAAAATGGAATCGACTGTTTGGCCGGGTTAGAGAAAATCTGCTGCACGATTTACTTCTAATCTCATTACACCCAAGGCGTTATTCTACGTGATGTCAGTCGGAACTTTGCCACCGTTTGTGCACGATCAACCATCTTAGACCACAATCATTTTTGTGGATGACTATCGTATGTGACCCATTGTTTATTGCCTATTATGTTTCTTAAGCAGAGCTTGGCGTGTCTTTAAGTTCAAAACTTCAAAGCCGGAGAAGAGAGAATAGTCTTCTTTGTTTAGATATTAAGTTTAGAGGCGCCAAGTCAATAACAAGTGTGGCTTATATGTCCAGATTATCGATAATTAATTAACTCACCGTGAATGCAATGAATTATTTTACAAATTTTCGAAGTGGCGTAGTGTTTCGAAATTTTAAAACCTTTTTAAATCTCAATTATCATCGATTGAGTTAACAAAATTCTTATTGTTTTTTCTTCTTACCTCACCTACGCGATCTATGGCTTGTCACCTTTTATCGATCTTTAACCTGACTTGATAGAGTCTGTGCTATTAAGGATATGTGGCTCTCAAGCCGTCTATAACACAAAGCTATTCATTTATCTAACAGTTACATGCAGATCACTTAATATTTAATATATTTTGCAGAGGATTTAGAATTGTTCAGACAAAAATTGGTCCTTGAACAAGAACAACGTATACATAATCACGAAATGAAATTACAACAAATACAAAAAGAACGACAAGCGGTTTTTGAAGATGCCTTCCAATATGATCTACTAGAGTACAAACGAACTGGTCAGGTGCCAAGTAAGTACTGGAAAAAACAATAAAAATTAATTAAACCTATTCTACTATAGAAATAGATAAAGACTTAAATTCTGCCGTCACTCTGGAGGAAATTGTTTTAGATGATAACGAAACCAAAGACGCTCTAGAGGAGTTTCTAAATGGCTAACGACGACCATTTTTGCAAACCATATAATAACCAAAAAAGTGCCTTAGATAAAATGCCAAATACTGTGTTTTGTTGTATATGTATGTACGTGCATATAAAGAATTCGTTTAGCAATAAATATATTTTACACAAATTTAGTTTATTACACAATTGAAAATCGATTATGCCTTCTTAACCGACAAAAAGGAGGTGATTAGTTTTTATTATATAATGCTCCTGCCTCGGTTGCTAATGGAGAGTAAACGCCAAACGAAACGTCAACCTAATAAAATTAATTTAGAAGAGTTCAATAAAAATCCATTAAAACGAAGATATATTTTTCTGAAAGGGTAAAAAATATCATATCGCTTTAAATTACTTTCAAAATTTAAAAAAAGAAAAAAAAAACCAAATTCCAGGCGACTTTCATATATCACGTTTCTTATTTAGCGGTAGGAAACTTTTAATAAGTAATTAATTTTCCGCAAATTATGCTGAATTACATTCTAAACCTTTTAACTTTTGATTCAGCTTACCTTGGTCATGAAACAACAGGTGACGATCAACTTTCTCCCAATTCTACTGGTAATTGAAATAATCCTATGAGTAATTGATGAAAAGCGAGTGGTTAATAATGAACTATACCTGAAGAGATTCAGTTTCTTGGTACGTGAAGAAGCATTTACTCATTTATTAACATTATTGATGGACATCTGTGGATAAGTCAGGTGGCATAGAAAACTATAAAAAATCTTGAATAGCAATTTACGGAGACCTTCACATACACCTTTTAAAACGCTTTCCAGGAATCAATGCAGAGGTCACGCAATATGGTATGGACGACGACCCAATATGGAACATATAAACCATCGGAAGGTGAGGGCTTATGCCCCTCGCATTTTTATTTTTTTTATTTTATAGTCCGCAATTGTATTCGTATTATCGTTTTGAACATACAAAACCGATATCCAGCAAAATTTCCGGTAATGCTCGTATTGAATTTCTTTTCAAATGAACTGTGATTCTGCCTGAAATTCTAGGAGTAAATATTTAGTAAATATGCGAAATTATTAATTCCATAATGAATTTGAAGATGAAAGAAAATAATATGAAATGATTATAGTAAATAATAGTCGCTTGATTACTCGCACTCGACGTTAGAATTAGTTCATTCTTCGATTCACGCGAACTGTACTTCAACTGTGAAAATGCCAGCTATTTTTCGATTTAAACAAAAGAAAATATATGTTTATTACCAGTTTCTCCTTTTTTGTACAATTTATTCTTGTGTTAAATCGACAATTAAAGCGTTAAAATTATTTTGAATGTATTTTGGATTTTCTGGGGCTTCGCCCGTTTTCCTAATTTCGCCTTCGTTCTCTGATCCTGAGGAGCTAGATGAAGAACTGCTTAAAACCATAACATCACTATTTATCCGTGTCTCTGTAGCTTGAACCGACGTTTTAGAGTTCAGCGATAAGTATGTTTGTTTATTTTCGTTTTTCATCTTAGCAATGTCCTTTAATTTTTCACTAAAACTCTCTTCGTCAGACGACAAATAAAATGTTATAATACCGTTTTCATCTTCTTCAGCAGAAGATGAGTTTATACTAACATTTAAACTTGTATCTGAGCTAGAACTTAAAGTTATATCAATAAGAAGATTAGGAGCGGAATTGTCAACCAGCTTTTTTTTTGCAAGTAGTTGCTCATTTACCAGTTGTTGATGTATCCACAAACGATTCATATGGTGATTGAACGCCAAAGTGGCGTAGGTAAAATTAGGACTGACATAATATCCATCGATGTTTTGCTCGCCTTTTATCTCTCCATTGTAGTACTCCGAGCGATCATTTACACTCTGATATTTTTGCTTTAAAAATTTCTCTTCTTTAGCTTCGCTATCACTTGTACTTGCTGAAGAACTATATCGTTTACGTCTCTTTTTTCTCTTTTTCTTATGTTTCTTTTTTCGTTGTTGTCGCTTTTCGTCACAGCTATTGCTGAGGACCTCATGTGCATCTCTGGTCTTACTTCTGTAACTTTCTCCACAAAGAATTTTTCGACGCTTCGCTTCGAGCTCAAGCAATTTACGTTGGCATTGCCTTTGTGTACGATCACTTTCTCTTTTATTGTGCGTGATCATGGAATTTAAAGTTCTACCCAAAAAGCGCTTATTAGGTTTAACCTTACGCTCCGTTACGCTAATCTCATTCTTTTTACACACATTCATATCCTTTAATATTTCATTAATAGCTTTCCTAATAATTAGAAATTGTTTTTAAATTATTCACTTAAGCACATTTTCTTAGAGATTACCTGGTCAACTCCGATTCCTCCATTCTAAAAACTTATCTAATAAAACATTTTCACACAAAAAAATTGTTTATATCAGCTGTTCTTTCTAAAAAAAGAATTTCTTTACACACAGCGCATACTAATGGCTAACCCATAGGAAAAGAAAACAAACATGCTTCGTTTCCTAACATGCATTTTATTTAATAGCACACATTACGTATTCGAAATAAAAAACTTCTTGATCTTTTTCCGCTATAGAGAAAAAAAGTGTAAAACAAAGCCTAATGTATTTTCTTAAAATAAAAAAATATCTACATAAAAACTATGCATCAAGCATCAATGCTTGATAAATATGTCCAAACATATTTATCGCGCCGGTCAGTAACGTTCAGTAACGCGAAGGACGAATTCCATTCCCTCTGAAATGGGAGAGAAGCCTAATAATTACTAAACTACCATAGCGTGTTGTATCTTTAAAACCGTGATAATACCTAAAAATACAATGACTAACCCAATACCTGTATGGATGATTATTTTTTTAATTTTTTCTTTTAATCTCTATTTGATATGATATGATTATTATTAGTTTTTTCTTCAGATAAGTTATATGCTAAAGTTGGTTGTGATTTTGGAAACGACAGCATAAGAACTATGTTTTATTATTTAAGGCTATGTTTTATCGATGCATGAAGGTGGCCTAGTTTAACTCTTTTGACTTTTAATCACGTCAATTTTGTCGTTTGGAATATTAACTTTTTTATAATTTACTTTGCACTTCGTTAAGCATTTTTTCAAAATTGATTCGTGTGGTTTCAATGCTACGCGCTATATTTTCGTAATCGTAGCAGATTTGTTTATTTATTGTAGATAACGATATGGCGACTATTTCACAAGTTGCGGTTTTACACCTTAGTCAACTAAGTTGTTTGCGTTCGTAGGTTTTTTATTTTCACGTGCAAAAAACATCTGTTTGCCTATCTGCTTTAGTACAAACAGCTGATAATGTAACGCACAGTGTAGAATCAATTTTGTCAGCTAGGATTACGATTATTCTTGCGCGCATTATTTAAAAAAATATGTGCTAACAACACTGAGCTTTTATATGTCTAGATTCAAGTTAAAAAGATAAGTAAATATAATAACTTTTAATAAAAGCTTTCAAGCATTAAATATTGAAATGAAAGAAAATCCTGCAAAGAAACGTGATATCAGGCCGTTCATTTATGGTGGTTTAGCATCAATAACAGCAGAATTTGGTAAACAATATAAGCAATAAATATTCCAAAAGTAACTTTATATATAATATATATATATATATATATCTATATATGTGTGTATATATTTGTCTATATATATATATATATAATTATATACACATTTAAATGTAATTAATGTCATCAAATCAATTGCGATCAAGAGATAGAAAATATGCTGAATACGCCGAATTACTGAGAACATATTGAATTATTCATATTATACATCATTCTAACGGGGGCTGGGGAACTGGGGCTCATTCTGATGCTTATCACTAAAGAAATAATAATATAAACATACAAACAGTATGTTATGTATGTGCATATATTTTTTGTTTATTAACCTCACGTGTTGTTGCTGTGAACTGTTGTTTATACCATGTGTGAAGTATTTATTTATTCTATAATTTTCCTTTATGATTAAGAAAACTAATCTTAAAATAAAATTGATACCAACAGGCACATTTCCAATAGATACTACAAAGACCCGCCTACAAATTCAAGGCCAGAAAATTGATCAAACATTTGCAAAATTACGTTATAATGGAATGACAGATGCTTTTATAAAAATTACCAAAGAGGAAGGTTTAAAAGCGTTATATTCGGGGTAAGTGCTAAAAGAACCCCAATTTAAAAAATATTAAAGAAGTACAATTTCCCAAACGTAGTATATGGCCGGCTGTTCTGAGACAAGCTCTTTATGGCACTATAAAATTTGGCACCTATTATAGCTTGAAAAGTTTCGCCAACGACTATGGGCTCTTAATAAATCCCAAAACGGGTTCCGAAAGAATATGGAGCAATATTTTATGCGCAGCGTCCGCGGGCGCTATATCTTCAGCTATAGCTAATCCTACTGATGTCTTGAAAGTACGAATGCAAGTTCATGGCAAAGGTAATCAACAGAAAAGCTTATGGAGTTGTTTTCATGAAATCTACAAATATGAAGGCATTCATGGACTGTGGCGAGGGGTCGGGCCTACAGCACAAAGGGCAATCGCCATAGCTTCAGTCGAACTGCCTGTATATGATTTTTGTAAATCGCAATTAATGTGTTATTTCGGGGACCACGTAGCGAATCATTTTGTGTAAGTTTGAAAAATGTACGCTAAATATACTCACTCACTGATCATAATCTTCTGTAGTTCCAGTTCTATAGCTAGTTTAGGAAGTGCTATAGCCTCTACACCAATCGATGTGATACGGACAAGATTAATGAATCAAAGACGTATAACCGTAGTGAATGGCATGGCCACAGCTACGACGCAGAAAATATATACTGGTAGCTTAGATTGCGTTGTCCAGGTAAGCAGTGCATATTAATGTATGTTTTTTTTCTTGGGTGCACGATTAAAAAGGTATATTAAATCTGCTATTACCTTTATAATAGCTAAATATATAAGACGGCAGAGATGATTGAGCCCTGTTGTCTATGATAAGCCAATTACCAATTTTGTTTTTTTTTTTTTTTTTAACGTTTGCCCAAAGAGCCCGAACGAAATCATTTTTATGTAGGTCTGAGGAACATTTTCCCAATCGATATGTGCAAATTGTTATAAGCTGGATTTAATACATTAAATGATAAGGAAGTTTAAAAGTGCGTCTGTTAACTTTATGAATTCCAATAACGTAAACGGAAAAACAGGCCAAACGGTGCAGAATTTCACTGATAGATATTAAGATAATATCTGTTTTCAACTCTAAAAGCTTTACAAACACATTATCAAACCTAATATGCACATAATCCGTAGCAGTAACTATTCAAATATACGATCACTTTTTGCACTGCTTCCTATCTGTGCGAGCATAAACACGATTTTTTTACTTACGATACTTGAAAAATGTTTCTTTTAAAGCAATGCGTCCTAGCTTCTTCCATTTTTCCGTCTGCTTTTAAGTAATTTGAAGATTCCGACTCGAGCGAATTTATATGTTCTAAAGGCCCACACACACGCAAGCGCCCCATTTCTTTTCCTCATAACATGATAATTATAATCTAAAAGAAAAAATGCGATAAATCCTGCGACCTCCTTATAAGAGTAGATGATTATATTCATGAATAAATTACATAAACACTAAATTCAATTAAACAAATTAGATATTTATTTGTCCAATTTGACTTCTTTCGTTTGGTTACCTGGATATCGATTAATGAGTTTAGATTAATTATTTGTTATTTTGTTAATATATTCATCTGGATTGAGAGGCGTACAATATAGCACATTACCGTCCTGACTGATGCGCTGAAAAGCAGCGAGTTGGCGTTTTTCACAATTCGATACTTTCCATTTAATTGATATTAACGGCTTCAATGGTTAAAACATAAATAAAGCATAACGCTACACATATGAAAAACGGATAAAATATTCAACCGTGCATTTGGCGTACGGCTTCCAACAATAGTGAATTCATGTTTTAAAAATTGGGAGCATTGAATATTTAATATGGTCTGTTATTCCCCCGTAGAGACATATCTTTAGAAAACCATTACGTATATCATATCTATTAAATCATTACGTATATTATAGATTAGATATTAAATATGTTATTAGAGCTGATTATAATTTATTATTTATTTTATTTTTTTATTTTATTTTATTTCAATAGACAGTGCGCAATGAAGGCATTTTAGCTTTATACAAAGGCTTTATACCTACTTGGGTGCGTATGGGCCCTTGGAACATAATTTTCTTTATCACTTACGAACAGTTAAAAAAATATTAATTTATTATATTTATTTAGAGCAAATTTTTCTCAGTTATATGTAACCAAAAACAAAAACCAAAACTCAAGTTGAAGGCATACATAACTATAAACTAAGCTATTATAATATAAACAAATGAAATATTACCGAAATTTTGTTAGTACTTTTTTTATTTTCGAAATTTAAATTTTAAATCTAAGAATAATGTATTAAAAATTTTTATATTTATTTTTATTTTTTTTTTTTAATTTTTCGCAAGTATTAACATGATTTAATGGGAAATAGTATTTTGATGAAAATTTTTTGCTTCTAATTATTTTTTCAAAAATATTTTTATTCACATCTAGATGAGATTTATCGAAATAAACAAGTATACAATTCAAATAGTAATCTTCAATAAAATGTTTAAATAATATTATTATTAAAAAATCAAAATTTAAAAAAGTTTCTCCTATTGAAACAGGGATTGCCCGGTAAGCGGCCGAACTATAACGCATTCTTCTATTATGTAAAGGCATTTACCTGGAGAAAGAATCGGCGAAGAACCCTTTTGCTACTGTATCATAATCAAAATAAATTGGAAAAATTAATCATGTTGTTAGATGCGATTTATTTCGTTTAAAATATTTGTTAGTGGTTAAAGAAATTACAAGGAGTGCAATGCAACGCAAATAATTATGCGCAAAGTCAAGAGAAATTTTAAAAAATTTCGAAGTTGGAGCAGCTTCTTCTTCCTGAACTGATTATTGAATAATTAAAGTGATTTTTGCTGTTGTATTAAGTGATCCTCCATCAACCCCCTTCGGATAGTTTATAAAAAATACCATATGTTCAGAATAGAGAAATCACAGAGTTAGTTTTAATATTTAATTTATGCTGCTAATGTGAATGAATCTAAACAAAAATTGGTGGAATGTTGATAAAACTAAACGGTCCGCAATTACCTCCTAATCCGATTTGCAGCGAAATATTCAATTTTTTTTTTCCATTATTAGAATTATCTGTTGATGTTTCCCATATTTGGCCCAAATTCGTACCGGTGTAAGTACTTTCGAATTTTTCGATTTCGGTAAGACACAAATTACGCCGCCATATATGTTAAACGACCAGAAAATGTGTCAATATATATTCAAAAATCTTACCTATTTTAGAGTAAATCTCGTGTGATTATATAATTTTATATTTTATATGATATTATAAACATTATTCTAGAAGGTTCTGAAAGTTTTTGCGCTTAAGACCGCCGTTAATGTTGTAATACTTTCAGTTTTGCATCATCAAACATCCCGTCCAGGCCCGTTCTATTATTTATAAAAATAGGAAGATTTTCAACAGTCCAAGTTGAAATTGATGTTGAAAAATCCTCTTCGGGGTTCTTGCAAAAGTCAGCATATTAAAAATTCGAATCTGCCTGCCAGCAACGCTCTCTATTGTAAATTCCTTGAAACTTTTTTAATTTTAAAATACACAGATTGTTCAAGCTTTCAAGTTTCATTAAAACAGGTCAATTTCTTTTCTTGAGAGGTTAAGTACGCAAAATTCAACGCTAACTGACACCAACGTAAAAAGTCGCAAACAGCTGATAACAGCTGATAAGTTCACTATTTAAAAACCGTTTTGTAAATTTGTGGATTAAAATGTGAAAAATTAAATACACTTCAGCGCAAACTAAAAAAAAAAAAGTTAAAAAAAAAATTGATCTACAATAACAAACCTATAATTTTATTTATCAATTTCTATATTAATATGAAAGAAACATTAAAAGAACGTGATATAAGAATCTTTGCGTATGGGGGCATTGCTTCAATTTTGGCAGAGTTTGGTAAGTTTTGAAAAGTACAAAAATTCTGTTACTAGTTTTTTATTTGAATTTATTAGGTACTTTTCCAATTGACACCACCAAGACTCGACTGCAAATTCAGGGACAAAAAATAGATAAAAAGTTTTCCCAGTTACGGTACGGTGGCATGATTGATGCTTTCTTTAAGATAGCTCGAGACGAAGGTGTTACAGCTCTATATTCAGGGTAAGTTAATTGAAAGCTAATCCCTAATGAAATCAATCAATATATCGTCAATATGGCCTTTCTGCGCAGTGTATGGCCGGCAGTTTTGCGGCAAGCTGTTTACGGGACTATAAAATACGGTACATATTACTCTTTAAAAAGTTTTGCTAGAGAAGGCGGTTTGTTGGTGGACCCAAAAACTGGTAGTGAACGGGTGTGGTGTACAGTAGTATGCGCCGCGACTGCAGGAGTTATATCCTCAGCTTTAGCCAATCCCACTGATGTTTTAAAAGTACGCATGCAAGTTTCTGGTAAAGGTAGCCGACAAAAAAGTTTATGGAAATGCTTCTACGAAATCTACAAATTTGAAGGAGTAAAAGGCTTGTGGCGTGGCGTAGTGCCAACCACTCAGCGAGCTATTATAATAACATCAGTCGATTTGCCAGTTTATGATTTTTGCAAATCTCGTTTGTTAAATATATTTGGTGATCAGCCCATAACACACTGTATGTATGTAAACGCACTCGAAATTTCACAAGAACGAACATTTAGGTATGCGCTCAATTAGTTCTAGTTCTATATCAAGTCTCTCAGCAGCTATAGCGTCTACCCCAATGGATGTCGTGCGCACCAGATTAATGAATCAGAAACATTTACTTGCTTTGAACGAAACAAACGTTACGCAAAATATCTACAGAGGCAGTTTCCATTGTGCTATAGAAGTAGGTTACATGGTCAATTATCATAAGTATTTTTTAGCACATTTTTTTTTTGTAGACAGTACGCCATGAAGGTCTAATGGCCTTATATAAAGGTTTTATACCCGCTTGGATGCGTATGGGGCCCTGGAATGCTATATTTTTCGTGACTTTTGAGCAAATGAAGAAATTATAGCATGAATTGTTTCGCCCATTATATAACAAAAGAAAATATAGAAACCTCAAGAGATTGTTTTTTGAAATCATCAATAAAAACTGCTTTCAAAGTGTGCAGAGGATTATAATATCCCTATAAAACGTAATGAATACTCATAAAAGTAACTAAGGTAAGCCGTGTATGCAGAATTAATGTGGTAGAGTGTAAACTTTATAGCTCATTTTTTTTTCTAATAAAAATTCCATTAAATTCGCTGCAGAAAAATTTTGAAAATATCAAATTATCTAAGCTCGTGGGCAACTAAACATTTTAAGATTTCAATATAATCTTGCTTAAGTGCGATAATGGTGAAAAACCGCGAGCTCATTTTTTTTTTTAATTAATTGTAGCTACGGTGCTCGAAATTATGAAAGGCATTCCTACTGTATGATAAAGATAAATTCACAATTTTATTATAAGTATGAATAACTTAATGTAAAATTCATTTAAAACCAAACCTTTGGTCATAATAGTTTGATGAAGACAGTTTCCACTTTTAGAGGAGGTTAACAAATGTATGCAGATGTCAATTCTACAACATTCGTTTTGATTCGTTTAGCTCATGAGCGTCAATTTCCCTTCTTTCTGTATTCATCTCAATGTATCAAATCGAATTAAATTTATTTTGTGACAAATTCCTAACTTTGCACTAATCTCTTTTTAAGCTTGCGCTTTATTTTCGTCTATTAAACTTTGAATTTCTTCACCTCTCACGGAGCTTCAAAATATTCATCATTACAATTCTTGCTCGTAAATCACTTTCTAGCTATTTCGTAGCTTAGCGCATTTTTCTTAGTTTAAAATAAAAGAACGTGCAGTGTCGCAAATTCCACTTATTGAAATCCGTCCCCTTGCACCAATTTCAAAATCATGTTTATCAAAATGGGTGCGATAAATAACTGCGTTCGACCAATTTTATCAAATTTCATAGAAACATTTGATTTTTAAATTATTCATTCCCAAATACAGAAATACTTGTGCGGTAAAATACAGTTTGTCAAATCTAATCCAAAAATGTTTAAGATCCGCAAGCCTGTTGTCCATTTAGACTGCGCCGATCGATATCAAGATCGTTGTTTACTCACACTGCTTTGCAATAAAAGGTGATGCTTTTTTGATACTTCTCAACAATAATAAAGTTTGAACGTTTTTTCAAAAACGACCGGCTAAATATTCGAACATATTTGGATACTTACCTAATCACTCCAAAGTTCCCGAGGTAATGCGTTTCAGCAAATATAATTCTGCCTTACACATTAACCTTAATACAGTCCGAATAAATTCCGCTGGAAAAAGTCTTGCTTTCTCGTGTGTGCTTAGACGATGTTGCCTACCCCGTTAACCCATACGTGCAACCGATGGTACTACGTTGGAAGTGTTGCCGTTACGGCCACACCGCTCGTGATTAATCTCATAACAGATAAATTGAGAAAAGGATGTGTCAACTGTAATCATGATCACGTGTCATATCCCAAATTATATCCGAGCTTTAAAACATTTTTTAAACGAAATAAAGACTCTCCTGATCGTCTTAAACTAACACCTCCCTCAATTTTGCAGAGTTCGTAGACTCATCGCAAGAAAGTTACTACCTCTCCCATTTAGCCTATTAATATTAACTATAGCAACACTAACTCCTCGATCGAATTCTGTTGTTGCCAAGCCTATTGTAGTTCAGCTTATCAAACCCCTCCAAAATCATATTCCACGATCATATTTCAGTGGATCGTTGCACAAGCCAAAAAAACAGATTTACAAACAATGAAAATAATTCAACTAAACTGTATTACTATCTGTAGTGAAGTAAAATAAATTGAACATTGCCTTTACAACAATGCTATCTCTGTGGCATGTCTGTCGGAAATATTCCTCTCACCCCGGGATACATTTATACTCAAAATTACAGCGTTGTTAGGTCAGACCGCTTTGTAAATAGTTTTCGTGTTGGCGGTGTCGCTATCCGCTGGCGGAAGGTGGAAGGCGGATTCCAATGTCAAAGGCAAGAAATTTTTTGATACCACAGAAAATAAAAATGTAATCTTACTCAAAAACGACGAACTAATCTATTTTGCTTGCATCTGCTGCGGTCTTGATATTAAATTCTTAGCTCTTTAGCAACTTGACGCAATCTTAGCGAAATTTTAGGCATGTACACACTGTTTCGTTGAAATCAATTTATTCTTTCATCGCACCTCTGGTGCTAATATGCGATATTGCATTTCGATCTATATCATGTTTTCTGGTCTCGAACACTGTGTATGTAAAATAACTAACTCCTTTTACTTTAAGTCATCCAAACCGTGGATGGACCGCGCGTAATTTAGTCAATGCTACACAAAGACTTGCCTTTAAAATGCAAAAGACGTGCATCTAGAACAAATTCTGAAATCTTGGCTGATATTAGAGAGGAATATATCCACACGTTGAGATTGGAGAAACGCAAGGGATACAAAAGCTTTTCTAATAGCGTCAACAGTGATATGTTGGCTTCTAATCAACGGTGAGAAAACAAGCCCGCACATGATTCAATACGCATACTAACCTTCTAACTTTATTTTACCTCCTTTGTCATTTGATGACCACTGTGATAACCTTGTTTCAACAGAGATTGCCTTTACTAAACTCAACGGGGCATTAAGTGTCTGAGGATACATCACATAGGTTAGCTGGCATTCAAAATGATCATTGCAAAAATTTAGATACGAAGAACAGGGTTGTTCTTCTTAAAAAATACAATTAGGTCCTCAACCCTCGTCCCATACCATCAAATTGATTTAATTTTCGGATTATTACTTTAAAAAAACAGGATCTCCTTACCGATAAACCTTAGTTCATATTCAATGTTGCCAATCGTTGTTGATCAAAAATGGTGATGTACAAGACACTCATAATAATAAAAATCTTCCGTAACAAAACCGTAACTGACTGCAATTTATTTTTAGTAAGAAACTCGAAATTTTATTCCACAAGTTTGCTAATTAAATTCGGGCCTGCCAACATTTTGCCAGCGTGGTAACTTTTTTACGTTCTAAACACATCTTAACGGAGTTACCATCACTCCTAAAACTATTATTAATCCCGTCAGCATTTTAAGAGAATACTATGCTCACATTTCGAATAACATCTAGTATATCAAAATATTCTCAGCGACTCTCAATCTGGCTTCAGACCTTCTAAATCTATCGACGATTACATCATCCCTCTTTGCCCCACTGTTAATATAGCTTTTGTCATACACAAGACTCTCTTCTACACTCCATATTAATAATGCCGCCTACAGCAAATGCGTAATCCCGCTACTTCAACCTACCTAATGTCAGATAGAAAAATTTCTTTTCCTTCTTCACTAACGCATCCAAATCTACTGTCGTCGGCAGTGCCGACGGAGGGCTCCATTTCAAGAGCCGATTGCCTAGCAATTTTAGAAAGCAAAAAAAAATTTCTGATTGTCACAGACATTAAAGCTTTTTTTTAGTTCTACAATTATTCCCCCCAGTTAGAACTTATCCATATGTCTAACAAATTAGACCTTTGTTATACAGTCTAAAATCCAAACCCTTCAATTATCATTTTCTCTGGGTACCCAGTCATATGGGCATGCAAGAAAATATCATTACTGACAAAATAGCCTCTTCCAAAAAAATCGATCGACCTTTAATTTCCTCCGGCGTAAAAACATTTGACAAACAACAAAAAATCGCAATTAGCAGCAGCAATGGAAGCTTATTTAGCAATCTTTTTTATTTTGCAACGCACACAACTTAAACGTATAAATATAAGCTCTGAGTCTAGTTTTCATACAGCTACTAATCATTAATCGTTGACTTCGTTGACAAAACCCCTTCCCAGCACCTTCTATTACTTTTCAGTACACACTTCTAAAAAGTGGTATTAAAAATAATTATAATAATAACAAAATTAACAACGATATAAAAAATCAAGAATAATAAATTATAATTTAAAAAATGTTCCTCTAAACATAACAATAACATTTACATAAAAAAAAAAAAATTAAATTGTAAATAAAAATATATATTTTATTAACTAATAACAATAATGCATCAAAAAAGCAATAACCCCAAAAATATTAGCAATGCAAATAAACAGTGAAAACTATATTGGTAAAGGCCAAAGAATCCTAATTTAGTGCTATGGAAATTATTTTTTTTTTAGTTAAATAACGCTAGAAATAAAACGTAAATAAATGACCAAAAATAAATTCGTTAGCTTGTATATAAAATCTCTCAATGCATCGATTAATTTTGTCTATTCTATCACTCTTTGCTAGCTTCAACTTAATCGGAGGCCATCACTAAGCTAAAACTTAGCTTTCACGAAAACGAGATTAAAATTCTTAAAACGTGATTACATTCTATTACTAGTTGAACTAAATAAATTTGAAAAAATGCTGGGGGTTCCAGTAAGCAGGCGACAATGAATCAATACCAATAAAATCAAATCATGTAAGCAAATTTACTGGTAATTGTCGCCGTAGGCGCTCTCAACGTCAATTCTGGCAATAATAAACTTACTGTCGTTGAGAACAAATTTCTCTCTTTTAGAGTTGTGTTTGTCAAAAAACAGCTGTAAACAAAATATATAAACAACTGTAAGCAAATGAATTATTTTTATTTGTGAAAATTAAACCGTGCCCGGAACTAAATTCGTCAATTGTGGAGAAAAATAAATGGAAGAGTTTAATAAAAAAGTTGTTACAAGAGCAGGAATCAAAACTGTTTGCGAAGCGGATCCAATGTACCGTAAACGTGGATACGGACGTGCAGTTTCCCCAGAATGGTTTATTTACATAAATATAAACATTTCTTTCTAGATTCATTAAAATGAAACTCATGACAGTCAATTTCAAATTCCTTGGATCTTCTAATGATTCGACATGTGCGAAGGCACTACAGTGAAAGAGCCTGCCTGGAAAATCAATGGACTAAGCATCACAGCAATGCTTGGTTACGCGGTAAGCGAAGATGCATTGGTGTAAATAAAGATTAGTGTTACAAAATTTAATATATAAACATCTCTGTACGTCGCTGACACCTTCTACAGATAGAACCACTACACCCTAAAAAAGCTACAAAGAATCGCAAGAGGTTATACAGCGTTGTGCAACATTTGCGTCCATTTCAAAATGGACGAAGAAGTTAGAGGGTTGCTGCCACAGAATTTATAAATATTATAATAATATTAAAAACATAAATAATTTTTTAAGTTATAACTCGGACAAAAATTTATATAAAAGTTGAAAAAATATTGAAAATATTACTTCTTATTGTGATTGAGAAAACTTTTTATATACTGGACTTTC